GAAGTTAGAAGGAAAACCGTTTGCAACACCAAAGGAACCGCAACTTCCGTATGGGCGAGTTAGTGAGGATCCCCCATTTACTAATTCAGGAATAGATTTTGCTGGTCCGCTCTATGTTAAAGATGCTAATACGACACAAAAGGCTTATATCTGCCTTCTTCACATGTCAGAGTACAAGGGCGGCTCATTTAGAACTCGTTAACAGCTTATTGACAGAGTCATTTCTACAAGCCTTTAGACGATTTGCGGCACGAAGAGGCCTGCCTGCATTTTTATTAACTGATAACGCGAAAACGTTCAAGGCTGCTTCAAAGGAAGTACAACAAATAGTAAGATCGTCTGAAGTACAAAGAGCTCTTGTTAGTAAAGGCGTATCATGGCAATACATTACAGAAAAAGCACCATGGCATGGTGGTTTTTGGGAGCGCCTGGTGAGAAACGTAAAACGGTGTTTGAAGAAAGTTTTAGGAAGAACATCGTTGAATTTTGAAGCTTTGAGAACAATCATAATTGAAGTTGAGACCACTATTAATAATCGACCCTTAACATACATCTATGACGATCACGAAGGAATTTCTTACCCCCTTACACCCTCAGATTTCATTTATGGACGAAGGATATCCGTGCTTCCGAATGAAAGACATTTCGAAGTTGTGAGCACTAGTAAGTCGCTGACGAAGAAAGCTAAGCATCATAGACTTTTTTTGAATCAATTCGTAAAAAGATGGAGAAATGAATATCTCGTTAGTCTTAGAGAAGTTTCATCAGCACTTCATGGTCCTTCACGAGAGATCATATCCGTTGGTGATATAGTTGTGATAAAAAATGAGAGCGTTCCACGGATTTTTTAAAAGTTGGGCAAGGTTGAAGAGTTAATAAAGAGTAATGATGGCGTAACACGTTCAGCGAAGCTGCGAAGGTCAGAGTCATGAATTCACAGCAAGGAAGAATAACTGTTCTGCGAAGCCGTATCCAACACCTCGTTCCTCTGGAACTTCATATGGGTCCAACATCGAACGCTGATAGTATTCCAGATCAGACTGACGTTATAGAGGAGAACGTCACAACCCGAATACGAACTCCAAGACGAAGAGCTGCACTTTAAGGCGAACAAAGACGAAAACAATGAAATGAGTCGAACTCATGACAGTCTCTATTATTAACTTCTTATTTTGTTATAGATTTGATCACATGCATGAGTGATCAACGCCGGGAGTGTAACGTACTGTGTAGCTTTTGCGTTAAGTTGATATCACGTGCGCCGCTCGTGAAGTAAAAGTACTTAATTGATTACACACGAGTTGTTGTTGTTAATCTTCGAAAAGACAAAATAAAAGAAACCTTTATGATTTAAACCGTTGTAAATCGAAATTAAGAATATCAGGAAAACGAACGAAATTAATCATATGTGTATCAGTATAATGAGAACGGCAGGAACATATACTGATACACACAATAAAATGTGAACTAATAATCAATGAAGAAGTATATAAACAACGATTATACGCCATGGCTGCATGTATACCTCAATTTTGTGGTGAATATTCACAAATTCGTTTATTACTGACAAAATATATACTAGTATTGTTCCAGAGGTATTGTTCCTAAAGTATGAAAACACAGATATATGAAAATTTAATCGGTAACTACAAAGCATATCATAACATTGTCAAAATTATAGCGGCTTTTGAAAGCTGAAAAAGTTCCTAAAAATAACGTTGCGTTCGCGTCCGCCGCTGTGTGTCGGCCTTTACAATAAAAACATTAAAAAATTATTGTAGTACGCGCAAAGCGCAGATAGCGTAAAGTTTCCGTAATGCTATGAATTAGGGATTATTATGCACGAATCTTCGAGCCCCCGCCATTTTTTTCGCGCCCTCCGTCTTTTTCTCTGCCCATCTCATTGCACTTTGTTTCTGAAAATTTCGCCATTCAACCCTCTTAGTAGAGCTGAGTAAAATCCGCCCTATCTAGATTCTAGTGTAACAGTCGGCATAATTATAACATTTCTTTCTAACCAAATTATGTTCAGTCGTCTGCTGGTTGGTAGGCTATACTCGAAAATTTGCCTGCTGGTTATGATTTTGGACATCGTATATAATAAGTGAGTATTAGGGAAGATTAAAATTATAGAATTACCCAAACACATTTTTGAATATTAACCAACAGACTGGGTATTATTGTAAATCTTATTGTAAACTTATTTGGATTGAAAGAACTCTTCGTAAAGCAGAGTTTGAAAGGGTCTACAGCGTCAGCGGGTTTTTTACTCGACCATACAAAGATAGCCAACCCTCTCGCTGTGTTTATAAATACATGGATTACACACGATTTAATCAAAGGTCTTGATCTATACTGCTCTTGCTAGTAAAACGATGTTTTTAATAATTTCTGTTCGCTTAACACATTATACATATATGTGGCACAAATGGTAAAAAATAAGCACTTGCCTGGAATTGCCCAAACTAACAAGAATCAAAATGCCACGTCATTAGATCCAAGCGTTAGACAGCTGCTATGTTTCTGCCGTTCTCATTTATACTCAGTCTGATACACACAATAAAATAGAACTAATATTCAATGAAGAAGTAAATAAACAACGATTAAAACTTTGCTCAATATAAATTTCAGTTAACACCAAACAATAGCAGACTTGCTGTGTTGATACGAATAATAAATATATTAATTAATGTATCCTGCACGGATGCATGGTTTGCTATTTCTAAAACTCAGTGGGACATGTTTGTCTCAGTCAAATATTTTCATCTTATCAACCTTAGGAAATTTGCTTCTGTAAGAAGCATTTCGGACTTCAATTAGATGTTAGCTTATACGCCAGGGCTGTATAGCTCATTTGGGGGTGAATATTCACAAATTCGTTTAACACTGACAGAATATATATATACTAGTATTGTTCCAGAGGTATTGTTCCTAAAGTATGAAAACACAGATATATGAAAATTTAATCGGTAACTACAAAGCATATCATAACATTGTCAAAATTATAGCGGCTTTTGAAAGCTGAAAAAGTTCCTAAAAATAACGTTGCGTTCGCGTCCGCCGCTGTGTGTCGGCCTTTACAATAAAAACATTAAAAAATTATTGTAGTACGCGCAAAGCGCAGATAGCGTAAAGTTTCCGTAATGCTATGAATTAGGGATTATTATGCACGAATCTTCGAGCCCCCGCCATTTTTTTCGCGCCCTCCGTCTTTTTCTCTGCCCATCTCATTGCACTTTGTTTCTGAAAATTTCGCCATTCAACCCTCTTAGTAGAGCTGAGTAAAATCCGCCCTATCTAGATTCTAGTGTAACAGTCGGCATAATTATAACATTTCTTTCTAACCAAATTATGTTCAGTCGTCTGCTGGTTGGTAGGCTATACTCGAAAATTTGCCTGCTGGTTATGATTTTGGACATCGTATATAATAAGTGAGTATTAGGGAAGATTAAAATTATAGAATTACCCAAACACATTTTTGAATATTAACCAACAGACTGGGTATTATTGTAAATCTTATTGTAAACTTATTTGGATTGAAAGAACTCTTCGTAAAGCAGAGTTTGAAAGGGTCTACAGCGTCAGCGGGTTTTTACTCGACCATACAAAGATAGCCAACCCTCTCGCTGTGTTTTAAATACATGGATTACACACGATTTAATCAAAGGTCTTGATCTATACTGCTCTTGCTAGTAAAACGATGTTTTAATAATTTCTGTTCGCTTAACACATTATACATATATGTGGCACAAATGGTAAAAATAAGCACTTGCCTGGAATTGCCCAAACTAACAAGAATCAAAATGCCACGTCATTAGATCCAAGCGTTAGACAGCTGCTATGTTTCTGCCGTTCTCATTTATACTCAGTCTGATACACACAAAAAATAGAACTAATATTCAATGAAGAAGTAAATAAACAACGATTAAAACTTTGCTCAATATAAATTTCAGTTAACACCAAACAATAGCAGACTTGCTGTGTTGATACGAATAATAAATATATTAATTAATGTATTCTGCACGGATGCATGGTTTGCTATTTCTAAAGCTCAGTGGGGCATGTTTGTCTCAGTCAAATATTTTCATCTTATCAACCTTAGGAAATTTGCTTCTGTAAGAAGCATTTCGGACTTCAATTAGATGTTAGCTTATACGCCAGGGCTGTATAGCTCAATTTGGGGGTGAATATTCACAAATTCGTTTAACACTGACAGAATATATATATACTAGTATTGTTCCAGAGGTATTGTTCCTAAAGTATGAAAAAAACACGAATATATGAAAATTTAATCGGTAACTACCAAGCATATCATAACATTGTAAAAATATTAGCGGCTTTTTCTCTGCCCATCTCATTGTACTTTGTTTCTGAAGAATTCGCCGTTTAATCAAATGGCAAACAATTGTTTAAACTAGACGGTAACGCTATCCCGTCGGAGATACCACTATGTCGACAATGTTGCCTTCGCCAAGGTGTAATCTTTGACACAATCACAAGTTTTTATACCATTTATTCAAATAACACAAAATCCCAATCAGGGCTGCTCATGGGGTGCTCACATCATGCACACTTCACTATCACACACTGCTTCATAACTCCCTACGCCCTCGTCTTAAATTTCAATTATGTTTCTGACGTCACGTGCGATTGAAACCCTATATACTCCTATATAATTACGTTATTAATAGCGCCAGTCTCCCACAGTACTTTGTTTCTGAAGATTTAGCCGTTTAATCAAATGCAAACAATTGTCTCCTGTTTTTCTAAGTTTACACACACAAACCAAAGTCAACGTTCAAAATCGTCGGGCTTACAGATTCAAATTAGTCGAAAGATGTTGACATTTTAAATCTCTTGTTTTGCATGATGTCAACTATATAGTTTTTTAATTCGCGTGAGATAAATTAAACGTCTTTGACAAATTAAATTATTAAAAATACGGTGATGAAAATTTTGTTTAATAAAAACATAGACAAAGATTATATCGAAGGTCTAATTATTTACACTAGAAAATTTCTACTGGAAAATTGAAGTCTAAAAACTCAGAGTGGTTTTTCTTCTGATTTAGCGTCAGAACAAGTACCCCAGCATAATCGTAGGCATCTGGTCGTTACTGAACAATTCACACCTATACTAACACATATATTCATCTTCATCTAAAAAACCGCTTTCGTATCATTAGTCTACTTCCATTGGATGGTCATACATTGTCTGGCCATCGGTGTCTAAATTGTAATTTGGAAATAATTCTTCGACAGCATTTTCACTGTACTTCCGTTTAATGTCTTTACAGATCGCATTAAACTGCAAACCAAACTCCATCAGTGAACACCGTCTTCCCTTCATAGTTGGTAACACGTATCCTTGAGCGTGCATTGCGACGATGTTACCGTTCATATCAGGAGAGCCAGGAGAGCCACTGGCACCACAAAATAGACTTGTATCGTAGGGCAGACATTCTTTGTATCCCTCAGTCGCGTTAAGAAGATCTGTGTTGGTCATGTGTACACCAGTGTGAGCACCATGCCTTGCATTAAGTTTTTCACGCCACGAATGATTGCTTACAACAACGCATGTTTCTTCATGCATTTCCTCACCGCCAGGGTGCCCAATGATTATAACTCGCCCTTCTTCTAATCGACGACCTCGAACAATTGAACCCAGAAGAGGGCGGCCGTTAAGACTTTCGTCTTCTTTCAGACATAAGAATTTATAATCCAATTGTAAATTCTCTAGGTCTGGATCTTGTTCTTCATCAACTTCAACTGTGACAACACCTTGCGTTGGGTCGTGATGCAAAAAATCAAATGAAACGTATATTGGCAAGTTGGGATTTTGAGTATCCTCTCTTTCCTTATTGATCATCATGTAAATGTGAAAGTTAGTTATCACGAGCCTTTTCGACACAAGCCAACACGTTCCTCGAATACTTCCGCATGAAATCTGTGCAATAGATTTAACATAAGACGCCAAAGGCCCGTAAAGTCTTGTAGGCCTCTGAGTTGAAATATTTTTATGAACGTCGTCTCTTGCAAAGTTGAGAATTTGTTGATCTGCATCGACAAATTGCCCATCGTTGCTGCCAAATACTTTATTATTTTGATCTAACAAATTATTGTAAGCTGCCGACTTGACATTTTCGGTCATCGATTTACGAATTTTCTCTGTTAGAGTTTCCTTTCTCGACGCCCGATGAGTATACACGTATGTAGCAGAAAATTCTTTGATGTATTTCTCAAGACAAACCAGGTGATCAATCTGCAGTCTTTCTGTTCTGCTCAAGTTGCATATTTACTCCGTTATCAAGTTTACACATTCTAAAAATATTTATTTTTTATAAAAAATACGTAGTTTTCTTTCCGCTTTAATATATCTAATCACTAGTGTTTCAAATTACCTGTAACTGGTTGTGTTTTCTGAAATCGGACCACATTTTTTGAATTTGTTCTTGCTAAATCTGGTTAAAAGTTAAAAAAGTGCATTATCCTTTTTATAACTTATGTAAGCAAAATATTTATTTCAACGGCAACGCATTGCATATTAATTTTGCATTTTGCCACACGCATAAAAGGTACGCTAAATCAATTTTGATCAGTGTTCCTTGGGCTTGAAAGAATAGTTACATGCATACCTATGTAAATCAGGATATTATAAAATTACCTGCTTTTATATTGCCTGCAATAGGAATTGCTGCTTGAAATGGTTCGGCTTCTTTTCACATCGTTTCTTTTGCAGGCGAATCTATTTTTGAGAACGGCAAAAAATAAGAATTATGCATAAATAATTAGTCCAATTTGTATTATGATGTATCCGATGTTGTAATTTTATTAAAGTTATATTCCTCGATTACCAATATCCGAAACCACGCAAACCTGCTACAGTTTTTTAAAAGACAACGGTAGCAAAAAAATTAATGCATGTATCATTCGAAATAGCGTTTTAATTGAATTATCAGGAGAGTCTTCCATAATTTACTTTGTTCTTGCAATATTTTTACTAAAAACAACGAGAAATTAAAGTTTGCGCAAAAGTTTTTTTAGAAAAAAAACACAGAAAAACGGTCGCATAAATATACGCGATTTCTGACCGTGGTCATGCAATTATTGTAAGCTGCTGCGTACATCCAGCCAATCAGATTGAGATTCCGCCAGTTCTGATTTGTAAAAAAAAAACAAGGAGAATTATCATGAAATTCAAAAGAGCGGATAATGTTGGAAATCTTGTTTTGCTTTAATATATTGAAAACATAACCCAACATTGATATCATTTAATTCGAAAATTAAAAACAATATTCAGTTATATACAGATTTGTTATAGCTTAGCGATTCGCAGAAAAACAAAACATCGTAAATAATCACCTGCTTCCTCTTCTACGCGGTTTGCAAGTTTTCGAGCTTTTTCAATTGACTTCATCGCTTTTCTTGTGTTTCCAAGATTGAACCAAGAAACAGCCAAACCAACAAGGGCTTTTTCTTGCTGGATGTGATCTTTATGTTCTGAATCAAAAATATGTCCCGCCTTCTCATGGAATTTAACTGCTGTCTCATCCTCACCAGCTTTACAACATACACCTGCAAAGTTTAGACAAGACAGTCCTTCGCGACGTTTATCGTCTAGTTCTGTAGCAACCTTGACCGTTTCGTTGTAATATTCCTTCGCTTGATTATAGTTCCCAGTTTTGCTTAATATATGTCCAATGGCTCCGTTTGAACGATATTCTTGATTCTTTTCTCCTGCGCTTTTTGCGATTTCTTTTACCCGCTCGTAAAACATTTTTGCCTCTTTTTCACAGCCTTCTATGAAACGGCAGCAATATCCACACCATTCATTTATAATTCCCTCTAAAACTTCCTCACACGACCAGAAACAACTTTTAGAGCTTTCTGAAAACACTCCAGGCCCTCTTCCAATCTTCCAAGATTAACATAACATTTTCCTAACCTTTTCAGACATAAAGCTTGCTCGTATTCCTCATTGTCAGAGTTATCTGTCAATTTCACAGAATAATTCGAGTCAACTTAAAGTAGAAGTTAAAAGCTGTCAGATCTTAGACAGAATTGTGGTATTCTTCGCGGAGATTTTTCAACTAAATTTTATTCAAAAGAGCGCACTCATTAAAAAAGGATATTCGATAGGCCTGGAACCTTACTTGGGGAGGGAGCAAATATTCATGTGTTTGTCGTATGCCTGACTGATTTTTTTATATATGAATATTTGCCCCCACCCCAATTAAGCTTCTAGGTACGGCCCTGAAGTATTGAACGGAAGACCACTGTACGGCACAGCAGATGCAATGTGAAAAATGTTCAATCGTGAAAAAAATTTAGTCCCGATGGAATCTCAAGATTTGATCATCCTCAATCTCGTTCTTCGAACCTGCGATTTCCATGGCGAGGAAAGAAAGGCTCTGGGATAATCGAAATCGGAAGACAGAATTCCTGATTTCCAGCTTGTATTGGGTTTGTATTGTATTACAACATTTAAACGGCGTGAACGACCCTGATTTCGTTAATTCGATTATCTCCAAAGCCTTTGTTCCTCGCCCGAGGAAATCGCAGGCTCAGGGAACAAAATTGGATCATCCGAAGAAACGAACATGTATGCACGGGACGAAGACTCGAAAAGGTACATAAAAACCATTGAAAAATTGCGATGATATATGGAGACATAATATAGCTACCAACTTTTCATTTAGGCTTGAAAAAGTGAAAAAGCTATAGATAAGATTTTGAAAACTAAAACGCAATGTGGCCAACTCTGTCTCAGTGTGTTCTGCGAACATACCTGACAAAAGCTCAGTCTCCTGAGATGTTACAACTTTTTTCGAATTCCATTCCTCTGTAAACGAATCTATCAATCAAAATATTTTAAGGGCACTTAACACTTTTAATTTTGCTAGAACTTTCAGTCTATTACCTTAGTGGTAATGATCTGATATTACATAAAACTCGATTAGCTGACGGTCTCATAGATCTGAATAAAAACTGTACTTCGCTTACGAAAAATCCAGATGATTTCACATGTGTGAAATTTCACATGTGGATTTGGAACTTGTAAAATTTCACTTGCTGATTTAGAACATCTGAAACTTCAGAAGTTTCATATATTCCTTATCCACATGTGAAATTTCACATGTGACATATGTCAAACAATGAAAATTTAATATATGACTTCGACATTTGACAGTGAAGGTCCAGGCAAAATGAATTTCCCTCGGCGCCCTTCATCCCAATATATAATTACTTTACTGTGTAAAGGTTGCAATTACCAAAATTTTATATGCAAAAAGTACCTGCAAATGACAATTCTTGAGCTACGTTTTCCGCCAACTTATCATGATACGTGTGTCCTTTTTCAGCTGCAATTTTCTCATAGCATTCAATCGCACCTTCAATTTGATTGTTTACAACATAAATATCCCCTAAACCAAAATAGGCACGTATAGCATAATCTCTATCTTCACGCTGCTTTGAATTTTCCAGTGATTTTTTATAGTACTCAATTGCAGTTAAAAACTGATTGCTCAATCTATAAACATCTCCTAACCGAAGATATGCATATGTTTCATTGTCTCTATCTCCTCTTTCCTGTGCAATTTTCAATGATTTCTCGTAGCACTCAATTGCCGCTTGAATCTGATTGTTCAATCTATAAGCATGTCCTAACCCAAGGTATGCAAGTGTTTCATCATCTCTATCTTCTCGTTCCTGTGCAATTTTCAATGATTTCTCGTAGTACTCAATTGCCGTTTGAATCTGATTTTTCAAACTATAAGCATCTCCAAACCCACGATATGCTCCTGTTTCATCCTCTCTATCTTCTCGTTCCTGTGCAATTTTCAATGATTTCTCGTAGTACTCAATTGCCGTTTGAATCTGATTTTTCAAACTATAAGCATCTTCAAAACCACGATATGCTCTTGTTTCATCCTCTCTATCTTCTCGTTCCTGTGCAATTTTCAATGATTTCTCGTAGTACTCAATTGCCGTTTGAATCTGATTTTTCAAACTATAAGCATCTCCAAACCCACGATATGCTACTGTTTCATTCTCTCTATCTTTTCGTTCCTGTGCAATTTTCAATGATTTTTCGTAGTACTCAATTGCCGTTTGAATTTGATTATTAAATCTGTAAGCATATCCTAACCCAAGATATGCCAGTGTTTCATTCCCTTTATCTTCTCTTTCCTGTGCAATTTTCAATGATTTTCCATAGTACTCAATTGCCGTTTGAAACTGATTGTTAGATATATAAGCATCTCCTAACTTAATATATGCACTTGTTTTATTTTGTCTATCTTCTCTTTCCTGTGCGATTCTCAGTGATTTTTCAAAGTACTCAATTGCCGTTTGAATCTGATTCTTCAAACTATAAGCATCTCCTAACCCAAGATATGCAAGTGTTTGATACTTTCTATCGTCTAGTTCCTGTGCGATTCTTAATGCTTTTTCGTAGTGCTCAATTGCCGTGTGAAACTCATTGTTGAATCTAAAACCATCTCCTAACCCAAGATATGCTCCTGTTTCATTCTCTTTATCTTCTCGTTCCTGTACACTTCTCAAAAATTTTCCGTAGTACTCAATGGCCGTTTGAAACTGATTGTTAGATATATAAGTATGTCCTAACCCAATATATGCAACTGTTTCATTCTCTCTATCTCCTCGTTCCTGTGCAATTTTCAATGATTTATCGTAGTACTCAATTGCCGTTTGAATCTGATTGTTCAAGCTAAAAACATCTCTTAACCCAAGATATGCATTTGTTTCATTCTCTCTATCTTCTCGTTCCTGTGCAATTCTCAATGAATTTTCGTAGTTCTCCATTGCCGTTTGAATCTGATTATTAGATTTATAAGCATGTCCTAACCCAAGATATGCATTTGTTTCATTCTCTCTATCTTCTCGTTCCTGCGCAATTCTCAATGCATTTTCATAGTACTCAATTGTCGTTTGAATCTGATTGTTGGATCTATAAGCATGTCCTAATCCAAGATATGCACTTGTTTCATTCTCTCTATCTTCTCGTTCCTGTGCAATTCTCAATGATTTTTCACAGTACTCAATTGCCGTTTGAATCTGATGGTTAAATCTATAAGCATGTCCTAACCCAAGATATGCGAGTGTTTCGCTCTGTCTGTCTTTTCTTTCCAGCGCAATTTTCAATGATTTTTCATAGTACTCAATTGCCATTTGAGTCTGATTGTTGTTCAATCTATACGCCATTCCTAACCCAAGATAGGCAAGTGTTTCACTCTGTCTGTTTTTTCTTTCTTGTGCAATTCTCAATGATTTTTCATAGTGTTCAATTGCCGTTTGAATCTGATTGTTCAATCTATACGCATGTCCTAACCCAAGATATACACGTGTTTCATAGTCTCTATCTGCTCTTTCCTGTGTAATTTTTAATGATTTTTCGTAGTACTCAATTGCCGTTTGAATCTGATTGTTCAATCTATAAGCATGACCTAACCCAAGATATGCCAGTGTTTTATTCTCTCTATCTTCTCGTTCCTGTGCAGTTTTCAACGATTTTTCATAGTATTCAATTGCCGTTTGAATCTGATTGTTCCATCTATAAGCATGTCCTAACCCAAGATATGCAAGTGTTTCATTCTCTCTATCTTCTCTTTCCTCTGCAATTTTCAACGATTTTTCGTAGTATTCAATTGCCGTTTGAATCTGATTGTTCAATCTATAAGCATGACCTAACCCAAGATATGCAAGTGTTTCATTCTCTCTATCTTCTCTTTCCTGTGCAATTTTTAATGATTTTTCGAAGTACTCAATTGCCGCTTGAATCTCCTTATTAGATGTATAAGCATGTTCTAAGCCGAGATATGCAACTGTCTCATTCTCTCTATCTTCTCGTCCCTGCGCGATTCTCAGTGATTTCTCATAGTACTCAATTGCCATTTGAATCTGATTGTTCAACCTATAAGCATGTCCTAACCCAAGATATGCAAATGTTTCACTCTCCCTATCTTCTCGTTCCTGTGCAATTTTCAATGCTTTTACGTAGTACACAATTGCCGTTTGAATCTGATTCTTCATTCTATAAGCATCTCCTAACCCAAGATATGCAACTGTTTCATCCTTTCTGTCTCCTCGTTCCTGTGCAATTTTCAATGATTTCTCGTAGTACTCAATTGCCGTTTGAATCTGATTGTTCAATCTATAAGCATGTCCTAACTCAAGATATGCACGTGTTTCATTCTCTTTATCTTCTCGTTCCTGTGCAATTCTCAATGATTTTTCATAGTACTCAATTGCCGTTTGAATCTGATTGTTAAGTCTATAAGCCCGTCCTAACCCAAGATATGAAATTGTTTCATTCTCTCTGTTTTTTTGTTCCTGTGCAATTCTCAATGATTTTTCATAGTATTCAATTGCCGTTTGAATCTGATTGTTCATTCTATAAGCATGTCCTAACCCAAGATATGAACTTGTTTCATCCTCTCTGTCTTCTCGTTCCTGTGCAATTTTCAACGATTTTTCATAGTACTCAATTGCTCTTTGAAACTGCTTGTTTAATCTATGGGCATACCCTAACCCAAGATATGCACGTGTTTTGTTTCTTTTCTTTCCTATTTGCACTGGAATTTCTAATGATTTTTCATAGCATTCAATTGCCTCCCTAATTTTCTCTTTTGACAAATAATAATCTCCTCTAGCAATGTTTATCCCAGCCATTTCCTATTTGGCATACAGTAATTTTTCTGAAATTTGCAATTCTAGTCAATCGTTGCAATTGCTGAAGAAGATTGTCGTTGAACAAGCTAGGCGTCTCTAATGTGCTTTTCTATAGGGCTTTTCTCTGTTCACAATACGTTAGAAATCTTTTGTAGTGCTGTGTGCTTTAATTGCTGGAGGAAAAGAAAAAAACACTTATGTCATGGGGTGGGCAGGTTTTGGCGAACGAGTCAGGTGGGGGAGGGGGATCTCGTGTGATATTGACCAACTTTTCTAATGAGTGTGCGATTTTTCCATCCGCGACGAGGGCAACCTTTTGTGAGAAATTTCAGTGCACCTTTATTGCACCCCCTCCAGCACCTCCGGGGTATTCTCGATTTTCATTCATTTACACTGGTACTTTTTTCATAATAATTTAGTTACATTCTTCCGGCCGTAATACAAAATTCGTCAATTATATTTTCCGTAATTTACAACAATTTGCAGGTAATCTTGGCAGTTTCACTAATTTTAGTGTGCTCCTTCAGAAAATTTCTTTTTTATCGCCGAGTTAAGAAATTAAGCGCAAGTGCACTCGTGAATAGGTAACTAGCAACCAATGCAAAGTCGCGCATGGTATCTCTAACGATAAGGTCTATTCTTCAGCAGAAGTTTCATTATCCGTGAAAGTGATAGAGGTGCGCGACTTTTCGCACTTCCTCCTTCCTAACGGCTGCTTAGAATGCATGGCACAGAGACCACGGTTCGTCATTCATCTTTCAAAACCAAAATGTTTATAGGCCTGGCAACGGACTGAGCTGTTTCGGTTTGGTATAAATTTACCCTCAATTGTGGCAATAAAACTTCAGAGACCTAAATCAGCCTACAAACGGGTTGCTAAAAGTTAGGTGCAGACACAGACAGACGTCCCCCCAGTCTCAGAAAATTAAACTAATCTTAGAAGTTTATAGCCCTCTTTCGAAACCAGATAAGTTTTGGGTTATTTATAGTTCAGGTAATGCAATATATTTTCGACAGGCTATGGTAGCTAAATCTTCTATGTAGACCCCCAACCCCGAGCAGTTTTTTCCGGCCCCAACCAAACTGTCTGTGTAATGTTGGTTGGTGTAATCGCACTCTTGTTCATAGCTAATGAAAATCACTACAGTATTACCATTTTGGATACAAAATATAGTTAATAATGAGGAATTTTAATAATTCTAAATTGTAGCTATTATTTACCAAGTACAGTGTATTGTGTGATAAAAACTTGTGTAATATCTATAATGAAGTTCAATGAATCCAGTTGCAATAAATCCAGTTGCAATTAACATACCCGCATTTTGTAACCACTTGTATGATTTTGGCATTAATTGCACTCCTATTGGTTCTATTAAAATGATTATGAGCAATAGCTCGACAGGAGGATATCATGATCTCTAAAGCATCGATCATGAAGATTTTCCTACAAGTTTGTTTCGGAATGTATCAAATGTTTGACACACGCACAGTTATTTTTTTAGCCTGGAATTCTGGTTGCAATTTGGATTATCCGAGAGCCTCCGTTTTCAAGAGATTGTGGGCTTACGACCTGTACGTACACGTACCTTTTTTTTCACTGTCACGGAAGTTCAACTTGTGTTTATATTAGTGAACTATCAATTTAGCAGGCCTTATCCTTAGCCAATGACTTTCGAAAAATAATGCGGGTTACAGGCAAGAGTGTTCGTCATTCTATTTCCTGATATCATATATAGGTATAATATGGCATTTAGGTATAATATGGCAATATCGAACACTAAATATTTCCGTATGATTATCAAACGTAATCGTATGTGGAGTTTGGACAGTCTTTTATTATAGCTCAGTGATGAAAACCCATTAAGGTGTTTACACCTTACCGTTTACCTCCTTAATTTCGAATATTTCCATACGAAAAGTAAAGCATACGCTTGGATTTGACTTTAATATGCATTAATTTTACTGTATTACACATAGAATAACATGGATTAATTTACTTTGAGTCTTCGACATACCTGTCCACAAATGGCTCAGATTTCCGTATTAAAATAATATGACATTATTCTACATATCGAGACGTTGGTATGAACACATAAAATGTGGGCCGTCTCATCCTCGTACGTTTCCAGATTTTCTGCCTATACAGCGTGAGCTAACGTCATCTAAGTTCTAACCATCTGAAGCCGGTTTTCCACAAGCGATATTTTTCGCGCAAAGCGACATTTTACTTTTGTTCCAGAGCTCTCAACTGCAACCATCTGGAACAAATTGTTCAAATACAAAGCAATAAAGTCGCTTCACGCGAAAAATATCGCTACCAGGCTTTAACGAATGAATCAAAGGCCGACAGGCCGAACTCACAAAATTTCTTAATTGGCGCTGGTTGTACTGATAAAAAGGCAGTTTACTTTAGACTATGGTTCAGTGGAAGAATTGGCAAATTAGAATCTTGTATTTTCGAAAAAGTAGGAAAAGTGAGCCAAATGCAGTCAAAGTGCTTCGATCGACTTATGTGCATGTCCATGACCATGTAAATTATATATGTCAATATCCTAGCATTTTCAAAATACTGTTCACGGTCAAGAGGTTGAAAGAAAATTGGAAATATCTTTTGCACAGACATGCCTCTTTGCTAAACCATGCAATGCAGAAGTGAGTGAATTCAAATAATATTTATATAGTATAACTATAGCTATAAGTTTACTGATGATGTGCTATTGTAAACTTAATTGTTAATATCTGAGTGTGAGATTTCGCGTGTTCAAATTGATCGATTATGGATATTCTCGGTTTTACTTCTTTTAAATAATTCGTTGTATGATTTGTGCCGATTACTTTTTTTATTTAAGTTCAAGTTATTTAACTCGCGTTATTTCATCTGTTTCCTATAGCCATGCATGAAGGCACGCACGTTTTCGTAAGCAAAAGCACAGTTAATAGCAAAACTGCAAACGATCTAAAAACGATATTAAATGCGGTTTCAAGGTGGCTTTCATGAATTGCGGTGCCCGCGCCAAGTTTGGCACCGCATTATATTCTGCCTGTGAGTTTGTTTGTTCGCATCAATACGTTTCCTTAATCGCCTAGTAAAAATTCCTTGCACATGCTTGGAATGCTTGGAATTTTTTCCTAATTATTACTATAAATCTTGTTGTACGTTTGCCAAATTCCTTTTTTAAAGGAACGTTCTTTTTTCAATTTCAATCTCAAACTCTGATAATTGCGTGTATCTCTGCTTTTATGCACCCAAGAAGGACAAAAATACCACCATTCGATATTTCGATTCAGCGTTAGAAATTATACTTACGGGTCTTAAATATATTACTAAACAAGAGTATTCGCAGCGATTTATGACGTTTGAAAGACAAACGAAATTGAATTGTTGACAAATCGCTCAAAATTACTATGCTATACTTTACTAGTAATAGTAAAATAATAGTAATATAAACGTGAAATAATAGGTTATACAAATGAATTTAAATATATAAATTTGAAACCAGGGACACTGGAGAAAGAAGAACTGAGGAGAAGCTGTTTCCTTTGCCTATTGCCAGCAAAGACCTTGGGAGTAAAAATGTTCTCCATTTTAAAGGATTGCATTCATTTTATATCTCAAGAAGTGCAACCAACCAGCTTCAAAAATACCACAATCGTCTGATGAAATACCAGAAAAAATAAAACACGATGAAGCGAAGTCCAAACGGACAATGTTTTGAAAACATTCTCTAGGGTGAGCCACTACAGAAGTGCCCTTTCACGAAAAACCGCCCCTCCCCCCTTTTGCCCTCGTATCGTTCCTGCGTCCCTGTCAGAAACACTGATTAATGAAATCAACTCAAAGGTATATACTATAGGCATGCATCATAAGAGTATTGAATGGGGATTATACATCATTAAGTCTAAATAATTAATTCCAAGACATATACAAAAACTGCTCACGAGCTAGATTCAGGCATTATAAAAGTCAAAATACTAATCACAAAAGTTTCAATTCGAATATATGAACATTCAACTCCTCCCCCCCCCCCACAATAATCGCTCTGCGTTTTGTTGTCTTCATCTTTCAAACCGCTTTAGTCTACGTCCATTGGATGGTCGCATATTGCCTGACCATTAGTGTCTAAATTGTATTTTGGAAATAGTTCTTCAACAATATTTTCACCATACGTCCGCTTAATATCTTCACAAATCGCTTTAAACTGCAAACCAAACTCCATCAGTGAACACCGTCTTCCCTCCATAGTTGGTAACACGTATCCCTGAGCGTGCATTGCGACGATGTTTCCATTCAGATCGAAGACAGGAGAGCCACTGGCTCCACAAAATAGACTTGTATCGTACGGCAGACATTCTTTGTATCTTTCTGTTGCATCAAGAAGTTCTGTGTTCGTCATGTGTACACCAGTGTAAACACCATGCCTTGCATTAAGTTTTTCACGCCACGAATGATTGCTGACAACGACGGATGTTTCTTCCTGCATTTCTTTTCCGCCAGGGTGCCCAGTGATGATAACAAGCCCTGCTTCCAATGCACGATTTCGAACAATTGAACCGAGAGGAAGGCGACCGTTAAGACTTTCGTCTTCTTTCAGACGTAAGAATTTATAATCCAATTGTGAATTCTCTATGTCTGGATCTTGTTCTTCATCAACTTCAACTGTGACAACACCTTGCGTTTGGTTGTGATGCATAAAATCAAATGAAACATATATTGGCAAGTTAGGATTTTGAGTATCCTCTCTTTCCTTATTGATCATCATGTAAATGTGAAAGTTAGTTATCACGAGCCTTTTCGACACAAGCCAACACGTTCCCCGAATACTTCCGCATGAAATCTGAGCAATGGATTTGTAATGGATTGCTAATATCTCGTTAAGCCTCGCTGGCTTTTTGGTTGACGCATTTTTGTGCACGTCATCTCTTGCAAAATTGAGAATTTGCTGATCTCCATCGACAAATTCTCCGTCTGTGTTGCCAAATAGTTTACTGTTTTGATCCAACAAATTATTGTAAGCTGCTGACTTGACATTTTCGGTCATCGACTTACGAATTTTCTCTGTCAGAGGTTCCTTTCTGGTCACTCGATGAGTGTACACGCTGGTGGCCGAAAATTCCTTGATGTATTTCTCAAAATAAACCGGATCAGTTGTCGGTAAACTTTCTGTTCTGCTTGGATTGTATGTTTCTTTAGTCACAAAATTTACCCACTCTAAAATTGTTGAATTTGAATTGACTTTGGTTTTAAGTCTTATGATATTGATGTTATTTATAGAGAAATTATATGTGGGTGCATGAATGTTTATTATTGTTGCGAGACGCGAATTTTGTGTTGGGTAGCGCAAAATTTTGTTACCTATAATTTGCGTTACCTGTAATTGTCTTTGCTTCCTGGAAAACGCAGAAATCCGTTCTCTCTGTCCAAAAAAAAGTTTTGGATACATCTTTTAGTCTGAGGGCCTGTTCATATGATCAAAAGTTTCCGGCAAACCAAATTAATTGTTTTTTTCTGTTCATATGACGAAACTTTATCCCGCATCTCCCCACATATACCGGGTAAAGTTTTCAGCTGGGTAAATTACATTCATATAAAAAATTTATTCTCGCTTAATAAAAGACGAGATCTCAGCAAGCGGGAGAACATTTTGCGTCATATGAACGCAAGGAAGTTTATGTTATTATACTACTTCAAGGTCAGAGGGTGTAGTTTGCTGGAACACTACAAGAGCGATATCTGCAAAGACAAAATTCTCCTTGGAAACGCTTTGGCTTTGAAAACTAAAAAATCACGTGGTGTTGCCTAATCGTATCTTGCTTGGCATGGGCGTTAAAAAATTGCTGTGAATTTCAGCAAAAACCAATACAGCATGTTTGCATGCGAAATAAAATCAGTTACCTGCAACATGTTGTTCTTCCTGCAATGTTTCGTGTTTCTTTGAATTCGTTTTCCCTTAACACGAATGGAAAAGTATATTTCAAAGGCAAAAATTAAAATTTTGTGTGGATAGTGTGTACTAATATTGCAGTCTTTTTTCAGTCAGACGCACTTATTACACGCGAACGTTTCATTCGTAGCAAATTAGCCGCAAGTGTGCGTGGAAGAATTGTGGTGTCATTCGTGACACATTTGTCTGAATCAAACATTTTTGGTATTTTATGTAACAAAATTTCCTAGTGTGCGGTGAATGAACGACAAGTTATTCTGAAAGCATGTAAAAAACGCAGCTAATTTGCTACGAATAACAGTTTGCATGCGTGTAACTTTCTCTCAAGTGCGCCGGGCTTTAGGGTCATAAATTCACAGAGATTACGTTTAACATTATCATGGAGCCTAAGATGGCACTTTCATAAATTAATGATAATAGTTTAAGGATCTTAGTTCATATAATTAGCTTATACAGCTTAATTAAATTGGGAATTTCACGTCCTTTATGATCAGCCATGCGGCCCACACCATATCTTTACATTCAAAGGCGTATATTTCACCAGAATTTCTTATGTAGCGTTATGGGAGTGACTTAAAACTTATCAAGCTTATATGCAGGTGCATGTTTCAAACTTTAAATTATTTCTGCATTTAAAACCCTATGGAATAACTATAGAGAAGCGAGGAGGTTGGAGTTCAGTTTTCGGGCAAATTAATCATTTTAATACAGCTTAGAATGACTAAATTAAACTTAATTACCCGTTACTTCTGACAAAGATGTTTTCTCTCCCGAATTGTCCTGATCAGTAATATCAACACTATCTAGGTGAGCTGCGAATAAAAAAAAATATTTCTTTTTAATATAGGTTTATTCTTTTTAACCCTACCGATTATCATCATATAACCTACGATCACTAAAATAATGTATTAATTACTTACCTATATCTCCTTCTTCCTTTGCCAATTCACGTGCATTTTCAATTGATGCTAACGCTTTTCGAGTGTTACCAAGATTGAACCAGGAAACAGCCAAACCAGTAAGGGCTTTCTCCTGCAGGATGTGACTATTTGACTCGGAATCAAAGATACCGATTGCCTTTTCGTACCATTCAACTGCTGTCTCATCATCATCAGCCTCGCTACATGTAGCTGCAAAATTTGAACACGATATTCCTTCGCGATGTTGATCGCCAAGTTCTGCAGCGACTCGCATTGCTTCCTCGAAATATTCCTTTGCACGATTATAGCTCCTAGTCTTTCTTAGTATTGAACCAATAGCTTCGTTTGCACGATATTCTTGATACTTATTTCCAATGAGTTGGGCAAATTTTTTAACCTTCTCGTAAATTAATATTGCTTCCTGATCACAATCCTCCAAAAAGCGGCAGCAACAGCCGCTCCACTCATGAAGAATTCCCTCTAAAGCTACCTCACAACGATCGGAAACCATTTCTAGAGCTTTCTGAAAGCACTTCAGGCCTTTTTCGTATCTTCCCAGGTTGACATAACATTTTCCCAATCTTTTCTGAAGTAGAGCTTGCTTGTAATTGCTCTCGTCAGAGTGATCTGTAAGACGATATGACGACACACGAATGAAATTTGACTTACGTAAAGTCGTAAGGCACAAGTGTGAAGTGTACTTTTGCACCGACGAGATACATTGCACTTTTTTGGTGTAACGTTAGGGTTATGTAGGGTTAGGATATACTGATTTACACCAAAATTGTGTGCATTTACACTTATTCGGTGTTTTCTGGACACTTCGAATGCGCTAGTTACCTGTGTCAGGTTGAGTTCCATGAATATTTTCATCTTCTTTTGAATCCGTGTACTCTGTGCGCTTTTTGTTTTCTTCTGAATCTATCAAATGACACTTACGTGTTATATCGATGTATACGTGAAACATCGTTAAATTCTGCAATATAATCACTACGTACTAAAGAGAAACTGAGTAAAGGCAGAATAGTAAACCAAATACTGCCAAAGAAATGAAATAATGGATAAAAGTTCGCCAAGATCTTGACAAGAAAGTATCATACATTGCATGGATTAAAAATTGCGTCCTAATTGACCCCGAGGAATGGTTTAAACAGTTTTTTTTTAAGATCTTAATGTGGTTTTAACGTTTATATTCCTCGCTTAAACGGCTCATCCAATTTTTGCAAATTTTTCAAACATCGCTCGTACAATTAACCCCAAATTGTACTCGCCATCGCATGATTTCCTATACTTAATTGGGTAAATCGCATTGCAGTATCTTGTTCACATAGAAGTTATAAATGCAAATAAGTTCTAATACATGACAAACGGTGATCTGCAATTCTGCATGTCTTTAAGATAAATCATATTCACCTGGGCTGATCGACCCGAAATTGAGTAACTCACCTGCAATTGACAATTCTTCAAACGCAATTCTTGACGACTTCTGTAGGAGGAAGGAATGGCCTGTTTCCTTTGCGATTTTAAATGATGCCTCAAAATATTCAATGGCCGTTCCAATCTCGTTCTTCAAAACATAAGCGTCTCCTAACAAAAGATATGCACGTATTTCATGATTTCCATGTTCGCTTTCTTGTGCAATTACCAAACTTCTTTCAAAATATTCGATTGCAGTTTGAATCTGATTTTTCAATCTGTAAGCTACTCCAAGCCCAAAATATACTTGTGTTTCATTTTCTCGATCTTTTCGTTCCCACGCAATTTTCAATGATTTTCCATAATACTCAATTGCTGTTTCAATCTGATTGTTGCAGGTATAAGCTTCTCCCAAGCCAAGATATGCACGTGTTTTAAACTCACTATCTTCCCGTTTCCGAGCAATTTCTAATGGTACATTATAGTATTCAATTTCCTTATTCATCTGATTGTTCAATGTATTTCCCAACGCGCGATTTTCACGTGTTTCAATCTCTTTATCTTCTCGTTCCTGCGCAATTCGCAATGATTCCTCATAATATTCAATTGCCTTTTCAACCTGATTGCTTGATCTATGCGCTTCTCCTAACCCAAGACATGCTCGCGTTTCATTCTCTCTATCTTCTCGTTCTTGTGCAGTTCCTAGTGATTTTTCATAGTAGTCAATTGCCTTTGGTATCTGATTGTTCAGCCTATAAACTTCTCCTAACACAAGATATACACGTGTTTCATTCCCTCTATCTTTTTGTTTCAGAGCAATTTCCAATGATTTTTTGTAATATTCAATTGCTGTGTGAATTTGATTGTTTGATTTATAGCAATCTCCTAGCCCAAGATATGCACGTGTTTCATTATCTCTATCTTCTTCTTCCTGTGCCATCCTCAATGAGTCTTCATAGTATTCAGTTGCTTTTTGTGTATCATTATTAGATCGATGAGCTTCTCCCAACAGAAGATATGCACGTGTTACATTCCCTCTATCTTTTCGTTCTTGAGCCATTCTCAATGATTTTTCATAGCAATCAATTGCCTTTTGAATCTGATTGTTCATCTTGTAGGCATCTCCTAAACCAAAATATGCGTGTCTTTCAAACTCACTATCTCCTCGTTCTTGTGCAACTTTGAATAATAATTTTCCATGGCATTCAATTGTCTTGTCGGTTTCATTGTTTAGTCTATACACATCTATTAATTCAATATATGCACGTATTTCATTCTTTCTATCTCCTCGTTCTTGTGCGAGTCTCAATGATTTTTCATAGTATTCAATTGCCCTTTGAATCTGATTATCAACTTTGTAGGCATTTCCTAATCCAAAATTTGCTTGTGTTTCATACTCTCTGTCCTCACGTTCCCTTCCAAATCTTAACGACTTTTCATAGCATTCAATTGCCTTTTCTATCTCATTGATATTTCTGTAAGCTTCTCCCAACCCTAAATATGCACATGTTTCATGTTCTCTGTCTTCTAGTTTTTGGGCAATTTTTAATGATTTTTCATAGTATTGAATTGCGGTTTGAATTTGATTGTTAAGTCTATATGATTCTCCCAAACCGAGGCATGCGCGGGTTTCGAACTTACTATCTCCTCGTTCCTGTGCAATTTTCAATAATTTTTCATGGCATGCAATTGTCTCTTGAATCTGATTGTTCAATTTATAAACATCCACTAAGTCGATATATGCACGTGTTTCATTCTCTATATCTTCTCGTTCCTGTGCGATTCTCAATGATTTTTCATAGTATTCAATTGCTTTTTTGATATGATAATCCACTTTGTAAACATACCCTAAGCCAAAATTTGCGCGTGTTTCAATCTCTCTGTTTTCTTGTTCCTGCGCAATTCGCAATGATTTTTCATAGTACTCAGTTGCCTTTTGGGTCTGATCGCTATCTTTGTAAGCATCCCCTAACCCCAGATTTGCAAGTGTTTCGCTCTCTCTATCCCCTCGTTCCTTGGCGATTCTTAACGATTTTCCAAAGTATTTAATCGCTGTTTCAATCTGATTGCTCAATTTATATGCTTCTCCCAAGCCAAGACATGCACGTGTTTCAAACTCCCTATCTTCTCGTTCTTGTGCAATATTCAATAATTTTTCAAGGCATTCAATTGACTTTTGAATCTTATTGTTCACACTATAAGCATCTACTAACTCAGTGTATGCACGTATTTCATTATCTCTGTCTTCTCGCTCCTGTGTAATTTCCAATGATTTTTCATAATACTCAATTGCCTTCGAAATCTGATTGTTTACTTTATAAGCATTGCCTAGGCCAAGATTTGCACGTGTTTCACTCTCTCTGTCCTTCCGTTCCTGTGCAATTCTCAATGATTTGCCATAGTATTCAATCGCCATTTCAATCTGATTGTTCAATTTGTAAGCTTCTCCCAAGCCAAGACATGCACGTGTTTCAAACTCACTATCTTCACGTTCCCGAGCAATTTTCAATAATTTTTGATGACATTCAATTGTCTCTTGAATCTGATTGTTCAATTTATAAACATCCACTAAGTCGATATATGCACGTATTTCATTCTCTCTATCTTCTCGTTCCTGTGCAATTTCTAATGATTTTTCATAGTATTCTATTGCCTTTTGAATCTGATTGTTGATTTTGTAAGCATTTCCTAACCCGAAATTTGCACGTGTTTCGTTCTCTCTGTCTCCTCGTTCCTGTGTAATTTTCAGTGATTTTTCATAGTACTCAATTGCCTTCAAAATCTGATTTTTCACTGTGTAAGCATACCCTAGCCCAAGATTTGCATGGATTTCATTCTCTCTATCTTCGCGCGCCTGGGCGATTCTCAATGATTTGACAAAGTATTCAATCGCTAGTTCAACCTGGTTGTTCAATTTGTAGGCTTCTCCCAAGCCAAGACATGCACGTGTTTCAAAATCACTATCTTCTCGTTCTTGAGCAATTTTCAATAATTTTTGATGACATTCAATTGTCTTTTGAATCTGATTGTTCATTCTATATGCATCGACTAACTCAACATATGCACGTGTTTCATTCTCTCCATCTCCTCGTTCCTGTGCAATTCCTAATGATTTTTCGAAGAATTCAATTGCCTTTTGTACCTGATTGTTCGCTTTGTAAACATTCCCCAAACCAAGGCTTGCACGTGTTTCACTTTCACTATCTCCTCGTTCCTGAGCAATTTTCAATAATTTTCCATAGTATTCAATTGCTTTTTGGGCCTGATTGCTTAGTCGATAAGTATCTCCTAATGCTAAATATCCAAATGTTTCACTCTCTCTATCTTCTCGTTCCTGGGCAATTGTTAATGATTTTTCATAATATTCAATTGCTGTTTGAATCTGATTATTCAATTTATAAGCTAATCCCAACCCAAGGTATGCACGTGTTTCATTCCGTTTGTCCTCTCGTTCCTGAGCTTTTTTTAATGATTTTTCATAGTATTTTATTGCCATTTGAACTTCATTTTGTAATCTGTAGGTATCTCCCAACCCGAGATATGCAAGTGTTTCATTCTCATTATCCTCTTGTTCCTGTGCTATTCGCAATGATTTTTCATAATATGCAATCGCCTCTTCAAACTGATGGTTTGATCGATGAGCATCTCCTAACAGAAGATATGAACGCGTTTCATTCTCTCTGTCCTCTTGTTCCTGTGCAATTCCCAACGATTTTTCATAGTATCCAATGGCTATTTGTATCTGATTGTTGATTCTATAAGCTTCCCCTAATCCAAAATATGCACGTGATTCATTCTGTCTAGCTTCTTGTTTTTTTGCGAGTTTCAGTAATACTGCATGAAATTCAAGTGCCTTTTCAATCTGGTTGCTCGATGTATCAGCTCCTCCGAAACCAGGATATGAATTTGCTTCATCAGTATTTTCTCGTTCCTGGGCAATATTTAGTAATAATTTCCCATGGTATTCAAATTTCTTTTGAATCTGATTGTTCAATCTATAAGCATCTTCCAAATCAACATATGCACATATTTCCTTTTTTCTATCTTCGTGTTCTTGTACAATTTCCAATGATTTTTCATAGTATTCAATTGCCTTTTGAATCTGATTGTTTGCTTTGTAAGCATCTCCTAACCCAAGATTTGCATGGTTTTCGTTTTGTCTATCGTTTTGTTCCTGGGCAATTGTTAATGATTTTTCAAAATATTCAATGGCCTTTTCAATCTGATTGGTCGATCTACAAACTTCTCCCAACCCAAGATAAGCCCGTGTTTCATTCTCTTTGTCATGTCGTTCCTGTGCAATTTTCAATAATTTTTCACAGCATTCAATTGCCTTTTGTAACTGATTGTTAAGTCTATAAGCATCTGCTAGTGCAAGGTATCCACTCATTTCGTGCTCTCCATTTTCGCGCTCTTGGGCAATTTTTAATGATTTTTCATAATATTCAATTGCTATTTGAATTTGATTGTTTAGTTTATAAGCTTCGCCTAAGCTAAGGCATGCACGTATTTCAAAGTCTCTGTCCCCTCGTTCCTGTGCAATTTTCAATAATAATTTTCCATGGTATTCAATTGTTTTCGCCATCTGATTGTCCAATCTATAGGCATCTCCTAACTCAATATATGCACGTATTTCATTCTCTCTTTCTTCTCTTTCTTGTGCAATTCTCAACGATATTTCATAGTGTTCAATTGCGTTTCGAAACTGATTGTTTGCTTTGTAAGCATCTCCTAAACCAAGATTTGCACGTGTTTGATTCCCTTTGTCATCTTGTTCCTGTACATTTTGCAACGATTTTTCATAGCAGTGAATAGCTTTCTCAATTTGATTATTCAACCTGTGCGCTTCTCCTAACTCAAGATAAGCACGTGTTTCATTCTCTCTATCTTCTCGTTCTTTTGCTATTTTCAATAATTTGCCATAACATTCAATTGCCGTTTGTAACTGATTATTCATTTTATAAGCATCGCCTAAAGCAAGATATGCACATGTTTGATGCTCTTTATCATCCCGTTCTTGGGCGAGTGCTAAGGATTTTTCGTAGTACTCAATTGCCGTCTTAATCTGATTGCCCGATCTATAAGCTTCTTCTAACCCAATACAGGCACGTGTTTTAAACTCGCTATCTTCTTCATCCTGTGTAATTTTCGATAATAATTTTCCATGGTATTTAAAAGTCCTTTGAAACTGATTGTTCAATCTATGAGCATCTAATAACTCGATGTAAGCACGTGTTTCGTTTTCTCTATCTTCTCGTTTTTGTGCAATTCTCATTGACTTTTCGTAGTGTTCAATTGCCTTCTGAATCTGACTGCCCGCTTTGTAAGCATCTCCTAAGCCAAGATTGGCACGTGCTTCATACTCATTGTCTTTTCCTTCCTGTACACTCTCTAGTGATTTTTCATAGTATTCAATTGCTTGTTCAATGTTATTGTTTAATCTGTGCGCTTCTCCTAATGCAAAATACACAAATGTTTCACGCTCTCTATCTTCTCGTCCTAAGGCATGTGATTTTTCATAACATTCAATTGCCATTTGCATCTGATCGTTAAACGAATAAGCTACTCCTAATCCAAGATATGCACGTGTTTGATTCTCAGTATCTTCTCGTTCCTGTGAAATTTTCAATGATTTTCTAAAGTATTCGATTGCCTTTTCATTCTGATTTTTCGATGTATAAGCTACTCCTAAGCCAAGATATGCACGCATTTCAGTCACTCTATCTTCTCGTGCCTGTGCAATTGTAAATGATATTTCATAGTACTCAATTGCCTTGTCAATCTGATTATTCACTTTGTAAGCATCTCCTAACCCAAGATATGCACGTGTTTCACTCTCTCTATCTTCTCGTTCCTGTGCAATTCTAAATGATATTTCATAGTACTCAATTGCCTTGTCAATCTGATTGTTTACTTTGTAAGCATCTGCTAATCCAAGATTTGCATGCGTTTCATACAGTCTATTTTCTCCTCCGTGTAGATTTCCCAACGTTTTTTTATAGTACTCAATTGCCTTATCAATCTCATTGTTCGATCTATAAGCATCTCCCAACTGAAAATATGTACGTGTTTCATTCTCTTTGTCTTCTCGTTCCTGTGCAATTTTCAAAGATTTTCCATAGTATTCAATTGCCTTTTGTGACTGATTGTTCAGTCTGTAGGCTTCGCCTAATAGAAAATATCCGTATGTTATACGCTCTTTATCTTCTTGTTCCTGGGCAATTTTGATTAATTTTTCATAATACTCAATTGCCGTTTGAATTTGATCGTTCGATCTATAAGCTAATCCCAACCCAAGATATGCCCGCATTTCATGCTCTCCATCGCCTTGCTCTAGCGCAATTTTTAATGATTTCTCATAATACTCAACTGCTTTTTTATTCTGATGATTCAATGTATAAGCTTCCCCTAACCCAAGATATGCACGTGTTTCATACTCGCTGTCGTCTCGTTCCTGTGCAATCTTCCATAATTTTTCATAATATTCAATTGCCGTTAGAATCTGATTGTTCAATCTATAAGTTACTCCCAACCCAAGATATGCATGTGCTTGACGCTCTTTATCTTCACGTTTCAGTGCAATTTTTAATGATTTTTCATAATATTCAATTGCGGTCTGATTTTGATTGTTCAATCGATAAGCTTCTCCTAGGCGGAGATATGTAAGTGTTGCAAACTCGCTGTTTTCTTCTTTTGTAATTTCCAATGCTTTTTCATAGTAATCAATTGCAGTTTGAATATTGTTGTTTATTCTATAGCTTTCCGCTAATGCAAAATATGCACGTGTTTCAAATTCTCTATCTCCCTGTTCCTGTGCGGACCTTAGTGACTTTTCAAAATATTCTATTGCTGCTGGAATTTGATTGTTCAGTTTATAAGTATCTCCTAATACAAGGTAAGCGCGAGTTTCGTTCACCCTGTCTCCCCTTTCCTGTGCAATTTTCAACGATTTTTCATGGTATCGAATTGAAGTTTGAAGCTGATTGTTAGATTTGTAGGCATCGCCTAATCCAAAATATGCGCGCATTTCATCCTCTTTATCTTCCTGTTCCTGTGCAAGTTTCAATAAATTTTCAAAGTACACAATCGCATCTCCTAATTCAAAGATTTTCTCCGCCATTTCGTTTTAATGTGAATGCCGGATTATTTTGAGATGTATTTACTATAAAAAAGATCGCCTCAAATTGAGTACATGTCCGACATGTGGTACTTTGTACGAACGGTGCGTGCTATACGTAAATCATTCTAGTCTTGCTGTTTGCAATTGGCAACTGCAAAAAAAGAAAATAATTTATATGCATATTTTATAATTGTGCTGTTTCATTTACTTCGTTAAGTAGTTGTAGCTCAGATTTTATCAGTTATGCTATTACACTGAGTAATAACATATAGGCAGTTTTTAAAATGCTTACTCGCGCATGTGTACGTGCATATAAGAACCCGAATAAATATTTGAAATAATAAAACCCCAGTGCGCTGTGACTTCAGTGACGTCATAATGATCGCGAAGCATAAGCTACACTTTAGTTTATGCTTCAATTGCGGCATGAACTTTGTTTAGAAATAGAGGATGATAATTCGTAACTATTAAGATTACGCCCTGGCATAAATATGGTTCCAGTTAAATTATGGGAAAGGTTGCATGTATAAATGGAACTTGTGTGATTAAATTAGTGATTGAAACTGCTAAACAGTTCGTAATATGTGGTCCTATATTATCGTGTTAAATTTTCATATAAATTTGGTTTGTTTTAGATTAGATTAAACCTTTTATATGAAGGCTACCGAAAAGGTGTTCAATAACTTGTGTTTAAATATCAACGGGATACTTCGAACGAAATTGATCATCAGCTCGCGTGGGGTTTTGCTTTCTCGTAATTGTGCAACGTCAAATTCACCGCACTCGGAGAAACTACGATAAGAGTGATATAGTAGACTACTGGACTAAAAAAATCTCACGCTTTAATAGCATCACAACTTTTCTGATTGAATATGCAGCGATAATTTGGGTGACAGTTTTTAAAATACTTCAACCGTCAACTCATTAAAACTGGCAAATCAAAACATGCACATTTTTTTATTCAAACACCCTAATAGCGAAAGTCTGCAGTGAATCTTATAAATGTAAGAATATACAGCATCTTACGTTGATAATCACCCGTAAATCGTTGCGTTGCGTGTTGAATAGCCCAACGTTGGTGAACGTAACGTTGAGTAGAGGTTAAAATAACGTTGACTGCTAATAAACAACGATAAAAATTCGGCTCGTGGCGCGTTTGATTGCAAATAGCAGTATGGGCGGCACAACATTGTTCAATCCTCTCCCAGTCACCCTTTCAATATGTCAGCATATCGACCTTTAATAATTTAGTTTCGAATAAGTCTTTCGTAACCTCAAACAAAAGAGTGTTATTCCTTTCCAATTATTAAGGACTTTAAGCATGTAGGGCGGGAACACGACGACGGCAGCTATCAATACATTCTTCATTGAAAAGAAATAAATTATTAAATACCTATCTGCGTTCTATTTACAACGGCAAAACGTCATATATTACGTCCTATGTAGAACGTCTGCATTTCAGGACCCAGAGGAGCGCTACAACGAATTAGGCTCTATAAAATTGTCCCGAAACGCAAACACAATGTTTTCAACGTCTTATCACTATCAACGTCACTATCTCATTAAATTAGCACAGTTAATATAACTAGAAGTAATCAAATATTAGCAAGTGCGTTCGGTGATCGGATTTCTCATCGTTAAAACACTGCAAGATAGATTCCTGATGCTTTGATAAGAATCTTCACTGATATTTCAAACACTTCAAAATCAAAATAATCTTTACAATTCCTACATGCAAATTCTTAATCAAACAGGCGAATACAAAAGCCCAAAACTCCTAAACTCCTAACTTCTAACTCCTATAAACAATAACAAAATACGGAAAGCACGCGAGAAATTAGGACGCGACAAGAAATTCGGCAGGCGAAGCAAACGCAAAAACACGAAAGCGAGGCAAATGCCACACAAAAATCTCAAAACGACATAGCATTCAGCCGTGACGTCACGATTAGGAAGTTCTCCTTCGTCGAACGCAATTATACAACAACGTTTCACCATAACATTAATTTAAAGAAGTAGTATTCCAACCATGTCGTCGTCGTGTGCCGTCCTACATGCTTAAGGTCCCTATTATCAATATTTGATAACTTTGTAAATAAATGTATCGACGATTGTATAGATAAAATAATAAAGTATAGATAAACTAATAAATTACTTGTGGTTATAATATATTAAAATAGGTACGCGAAGCGTACATGTTGCATGCCAAGTTGTGAAAATTTGTGACGTGCCAGTGCTTATTATATTGGTGACTTATGAAGACGATATATTTGAAGATGAGAGGATATATTATATGAAACAAATATTTAATTTATTACAAAATTTAAATAATTCAATATAAAAACTATAAAACTGATACCGGTAAGATAAAACTGATTGCGAAATCTATAGCATATAAGATTTGTAGTTTGGTAAGCTATTAATTAATAGGCTTACCTGATAATCAGTACAGTAACAATATTATAAAAAGCCAATTTTATATTTAAAATGCTAAGGTAAGAGTCAATCATACTTTCTACATTCTAATAATGCAGTAAATTTGGGCACAGAATCTGCATTTTCTTAACACATTGATTCATTTAACAATTACTGTAGTGCACCGATAATTTTCATTTTTCCGAATTTCATTGACTCATTCGTGTTTATTTTAGAATCCGCATGAAATCCAACTGATTTTTTAACTAGAGGAAACGTCTAAGAATTTCTTAACTTTTTGTATGCCAGAAATTGTTACGATCTTTTATGGAGATAAATTGAACTTTTCTAAACTCGAATGCTTTTATCAACATTTTATTTGCAGAAAATACAATTTTAGCCAAGTCATATTTGATTAGCATTGTTCATATTTTAGCATTCCTGAGCATGGATGCAACTTGATACAGTGTAATACCTGTGATATTGTCCATTATGACATGTTTGGTACATATTGAGAATTGTATTTCAGAAATAATAGCTGCTATATGTCACCAACCTGGTATAGCTTTTCTGACTCTTTTCTTTTACTGCAGTAACAGTGATTTTATGTTTCAAAGAAACTTTCACAATGCCAGAGGGCTTATTCACTCTCAATTATCCTGAATTATCCCGATTGTCTTGCCCTCTTGGGGAAATGGTTTAGGAAATTAAGAAAGGTTGTTGAGACAATGCTTAGTCAATGTTTGTATTCATTTATTTGAATAACTACTGAACGGTGATGAAAATATGTTAAAATCAAGTCAATATTGCATAATTTACAATCAACGAGCGGTTCATGTGTATAATACATTGCACTTTGCTCCAGGGGTGGACCCAGCACTAGTCCACCAATTTGCATTACAAAACAAAGTGGTTATTTTTGGCAGTATTCTTGCGTCATGCAAATTAGCCCTGGACCACTAAAATGAATAAACTGCCTCCTGATTAACATGCCCAAACTTTTAGAAGCAATATTTACCACCAGAAACAAATGTTTTTTTCCCTAGAATGTGCACCGCGGGACGCATCCTCGCTAAACCGCTCTCGTGAGGCCGCTCTTGTAAACAATAGTCGTGTGTGTTCAACGTGTTTTCAAATTTCAAAGTATACATCAAACCCCGACTAGTAAAATTGTGAGGAAAGGTATGGGAAAATTTTGCTGCATTATTTATAGTAGCTAGATCGTAAGTATAATCGTGACCGTATCATGGTGTAACGTGCACAAAGCACAAAATATCGATCCCTTAACACAGACGGAAGTGTACATGTCAAGAAAGGTCTATTTAATGTTTATAAACTAAACGAAGCATTATAGGCTCTGCATTATAGGTGCATGCGATCAACCGGAAATATGAAAGTTAATTTCTATGATATTTCGCAATATATGTTAATTTCTTAACACTAAACACAAAACAAATATCCATTAAATGAAATATCAAGTCCGAACCCTTATTCAATGAATGTTAATTAACTGCTTTTGTCTTTCACTAATGAGCGTGCACTAAAATGATCAGGACTGAAACACTTACGTGCCTTACGTTGAGAATCCACGGCTACGTCTGACTGAATGGCGCAATAATTACTAAACATCAGCTATTCCGATAAATTCGTTGAATTGTGTAGGCTGGTTATCAAGAGCGCCACTCAGCTGTAATACACTCGACATAAACAGAACATACACAGTGGTCGAAGGACTTAATTTCACTCAAAGATAAAATTTACTCGACGGTCACAACCAGAACATGCACGTACATGCAGGTTGGTGCGTGTATGGTGCGTTTAATGGAAGTAAACTGTGTTCTGAAACGTCAAAGGTCAGGCACACGAGCTCTCGCCCAATAGGACTACTCTGTTGCTTGCAACTGCAGAACAATTTGCCCAATGTTGAAAACATTCAGGATTACGTATACTAAGCAGACAATTTTAAGAAAGTAAAAAGAGATGCAAAAAGACAAAAAAATTAAAACAAGAGTTTAAGGATAATGGGTTTTTTTTCGGTTACTTCCGAAAGCATCGTCAGATCATTACGAGAAAGCGGTGATCTATCGAACACCCGCGCTGTAATTGTAAAATATATAACGTTGCATTTAGCGTTAAGCTTCGTCAGTGAACTTAATCACATAATAATAAACTATATTCATAATTTATTTATATATAATTCTTTATACTTAATTTCTTTACTTTATTTCCCTGAGCTGCGCCTGGGTACGAGGCTGTGGATCTATAGGTCTGGCTATTTACACACATAGCGCGCGTGATATCTACCCTGGAAGGTGTTATATTGCAAGTTATAGGGCTGTTCTTATGTGTTTAGACAAAGACGGTTTTTGTTTACCATTATTGAGGCGTATTACTTTCAACGATAGCGTTCTAAGATAAAAGGAGTTAATCAGTTAAAATTGTTATCATGGAGCAATAACAAAAATTATGGAAATTAAATTAGATTGCGAGGGTTACAGAACAGTTTAGTAAAGTCTTCTTCAGAATAAATGCCTGGAAATAAAAAAGAGGAGCGTGAATTTCGCGTGAGAGCATTGTTTCAATCTATTTGGTTGGATTCGTTTTATTAATCAACAATCGAATCAACCCCTATCTTAGAAACGCTATTGTTCAAAAGTAAAAATGCCACAACTCAACAGTGGACCACAAGTCTGGAAAAAACTGTCATTAGTCCATCGCAAACATCTAAATAGCTAAACTTATATCTATCCTATCACTGTTATTACGCAAGTTACGCAACATGTGTATTTTCAGAATTTTGATAAGCCGGAAGTATGAGAAGACATATGTTCAAATCTGTCTGAGCCTGTGCAATGTAACCAACTTGAGCCAAGAGGAAGCTGCTCGTCAAAATTTGGTTGTAATGATTAGAATGAAATTAGAATATTCTGTTGTGGGCAAGGGAAAATTATTCCTGCTACAATAACTCGACACATGTCTAGAGTGAAATTATGCCACCATTTTTCATGGTCGCTATATCTTGCCAACTAGTATAAGCCTAACCATGTCATGCTGCGGTACAAGCAATTACTTATCCTGTGCTACAAACAGAAGTGTTAATGAAATCTATAATTTATGCTGTAAATTTAGCATTCTAAGCGATACCCTGCACATGGATATACAAGTGCAAGTGTGCGTATATAAACGTACGTACAAATATAAATGAGAACACAAATTTCATTGCCGACGCCGCTAAATATACAAACATCTGCATTTCTCTGTTCGGCCTCGTATACATTATAATGCAAGTATAACACAATATCCTCTCGATTTGACACGGCCATTTCAATGCAGATCATTTTGAGGTTAATATACGTATCAAAAGGCGAGGTTCAAGAATAGATGCATATTCTCTATGTTCTTTAACAATATCAAAATGAAATGTCAAATAACACCACATTTGGATTTAGATCTATGATTCATTCCATTGATAATGTAATAAAAAACGGAGAGAAACACTTACGTGTCGTATGCAAAGTTATTTAGCCTTTAGGCAATATGGAAAGCTAATGCCAGTTTGACTGGTTGTCGCATTATATACTCTCCAGCAGTTATGCCAATAAAAATGATGAATTGTGAAGTTGAACCGTGATTTTGCAACAAGCGTATAGCTAGAACTTCACTGAAACGTATAGCTAAGACGATCACAACAAAAACATACATGCACATGCAGGGGCGTAACTTGACCCTAAGCGTTGGGGGGGGGGTGTGAAGCAAATTTGCCCTACCAAAGGGCGTGACCTGCAACAAATACGCGGAAAAGGGCGTGGCAACCAAATGCAATTATAGCTCTTTTTGATAGGCTGTGAGACAGTTATATATTTATTACGCAAACCCGGCTTCATAAAACTGAAAGCGAGATTTTGATATATATTTCGGAAATTATTGAAATCTACCAGGCGCCACCATGGTTGGCGCCGAGAGAAAGATTTTCGAAAATTCGGTCCTCTAGATCGTCGGAAACGGCCTTCTCAGACTGGCAACTTTCTCTCGAATTGTAAGTCGCACCCACGCCTAATTTTCAAGACTTCCCGCACCCGAACTGATTTTCAAGAAGCGATATCTCCTGCAAACTGCGCATTTGCAGTCTCTCTAACCAGCGAACCCCTATTTGGATCGATTTTACTAACTTACAATTCTTATAGCTGCATGTAAATTTAAAGTTTCGTTAGTTTGTTTAGTATTCATATGGTTTTTTTTATCAATTTGGGCAAAAATTGTCCAGCCTGAACCCAGCGGTCTGCTCTGCAAATTCCCAACAAATTGCCCAACCAAAACACTGTTTTTAACAATTGGGGGGGTGTCACACCCCCCCCCCCCCACACCCCCCAAACAGTTACGCCCCTGTGCACATGGCGTTTTTGATGCATGAGTGGAATTAAAAGGTGTTCCAAGTTTTGTTTATCCGAAGTTCTCGACGGAATTTGATGACCGACAGCCAGCTATTGACTAATGAGATCGGGCGCGATTCGGTAACGGGACGCGTTTCATGTTTCAGAAATTCTAATCCAAAAGGAAAACGCAGGATGAGAAACACGAGTCACTTCATCGAATTTTATTTACTACAGAACTGTTTCGTATGACAACCGTTAAGCTTGTCAGACTCATCAGGTTTTCTCATCCCTGTTCCAGCATTCTAAATCAGTCGACTGTCCTGGAAGTGCGAGCAAACGAAGACGTGCAAAAGACATTAATAACGTCACATTTTTTCACATTGTAAATTTTATGCGTTGATTTTGAATCGGAGTCACGAATCTTCTTGACATGTTCTTTAAAAGTAAGTAGGGGTGAAATTTCTGGGCGGTTTACATATCCTCTACATAACCACAGGCAGGACAAGGGGCAGTTAGAACAAGAACTTGATGAGAAAGAGGAACAGGCACAATTAAGATGCTGAAATTCTTGCTAAGGCTTTAGAGGAAGAAGTGAACTTGGAAATAACTTAAGAAGTTTACAAATTAGTGAAGATCATCTAACGATCTCATTCTAACTAAAGAACCCTGTCGTACGTCTATAATAAAAGGGCATGATACAATTTGACCGGGCAAATTTGCTCCACACTGCCCGCAGTTAAGAAGAGGTAGTCTAGAGAAAGTGGACAAAGTTGACATGCTTGAGGTAAAGAAAGAGCATAGGTGAAAATACTATGAAAATTAATATCAATACCCAACAAGATATTTCATATTTATCAGATCTAATCTACAAGAGCAGACTGGTGACGTGTCCGCAGCTTTTCTCATTGATCTTCGTCTTGACTGAGATCATCATGTTCTATACTACATTCCAGTCAAGTTCGCGGATAGTTTTCTTCATGCGCAGTTTGAGATGCCTCTCCATTTCAGCTTCCCAACCACCTTCACAGACCAAATCCGGCCAGAAGACATAATTGTTATCTGAGTGGTATTGTTTCAAACGATTAAGAATGCATTCCTGACGATGAATATTTCCGTTTTGAAGGAACAAAGAATGGTTCACTGTGTCCTTCTTCACTGATTCCAACCACATCAGAAGTTTTGGTTCAAACTTTTTTTTTCATAGTATGGAATATGAGAATAGCTAAATGTGAAATATGACTCATCATCAATAACAACTTTCGCACTCGAGGAGGGTCTCAGGACAGTTCTAACCAATTTTCTACAGCACTTTTCTGCCTTTTTTCTCAGAGCATTCTGGTACTTTCTTGTGAAACACAAGTTTTATCTGTTGCAGCCGTCACCAACTTCTTCCTCTTCTGGGGCGACAACTTTTCTGCTTTTCGCCCATCTCCAACTTTCCTCTTTGTTGTATTCCTTTCTTGAAAGTCTTTAATAATTTTATATAAATTGCTTCGGGCTATCCCCTGCTGATTGAAAAGTCTAACAGTGTATGCAACACCTCTAATGACATGAGCTGCATAAAAATTCACAACAAGTTCTTGTCTATGTTTTAAACTCAAACTACTATCACCAATGTGATGTGCTCCTGATATTTACACCGTTGTTTTGTTTACTAAGATAACCAAGCCTTCGTTCCCACGCTTCTAATCCAAAATTCATCACCTTTATTTATGCAGAAATGCCATGTGACCTTGTCCACTTTTTTGTCCCCACCCGTTAGTAGCGTTAAAATTTCACGAAAAGATGTAAAACTAAACTCAAATCAAATTTTAAAAATTCAGAGTGGGTAAATTTTGTGACTGAAGATAAATACAACCCAAGCAGAACAGAAAGTTTACCGATCATTCACCATTAACCCAGTGTATCTTGAGAAATATATCAAAGAGTTTTCGGCGACCAACGTGTGCACGTATCGTGCATCCAAGACCAAAAAGGCGCCTCAATAACAAAGAAAATTCGCATATTGATGATAGAAAGTGTCAAGTCAACTGTTTACAATAATTTGTTGAAACCAAATAATAAGTTATTTGGCAACAATGATAGAAAATTTGTCCATTGGGATCCACCACTGAACTATAGTGGGATCAACAAATTCTTAATTTTGCTAGAAATGACGTCTATAAAAATACGTCAAGCAAAAAGCCTGGAAGACTTACAAATTCGTATTAGCTAGCTGATACGCATTTGATAAAAACAAAAACAAAATATTGAGTTATTTAGTTTACCTAAACTGTCTGGAGACTTCTTATTAATTTCAAAATCAATTAAATTTTCTCTTGAGCATTTATTTTTGCCTTTTTCATTCAGAATTTCTCTATTTTTCATCTCGTAATCGGTATCGCTAGTAACGCCGGTTCATTACGGGAAAGTTTCGATCCATTACGGGAAGTAATGGACCACTGAAAATTCTTCTCAGCCAATCACTGAGCTCCATTTCACCGGAAGTGATGCTTGCCATATAATAAAAAAGCGCAATTTGCCAAAAATGTTGCCTTATGCGTAAAATTAAATTTGCATGTGAACAGCCGAAAATATGAGAACACAAATTTCAGTCCCGACGACGTCTACAATGTAGACATGCATCTCGACTAATCTGTGCGGCTTCATACAATATTGAAGAAATTCCGCGATTAAACATGCAGCAATTACAAGACTTCATTCGAAAATAAACTTTATGCATGCAGCAAAACACGGACTTGCACAACCAAAACACGTATATTTATATAGGTGCTTATGCCTGTTAATAGAATTTTTCCAACCTAACAGTTTTACCGGAAAACGCGCTACAAAGCGATTATTATATTCTACGAGATTAGAGAGATACATTTATTTGAGTATATTTTTCTAATAAGGTCAGCGGTAATATATTTCATAAAAATGCATAACATGTGTAAATATATTCTTAATTGCAAAGTATTTCCTTGTTCAAACCTAAATATTAGTATCAAACGACTTTTCTACAATGTAAATTATTTAAAATTATACGCTATTGGCGCTGGTAAAATATTGCTTTAGTGACAAGCGTTCGATTATTTTGCCCTAAAGAGCAGACTGAACCAAATTCCGGTCCTAATAGTACAATTATTCTACATCCATCGGCTGATTCATGTTATAATTTGGGAACAGTTCTTCGACATTAATATTGATTCTTTTTGCTTCATATTTTCGCTTTATGTCTTGACATACCGCATTAAACTGCACACCAAACTCCATCAGCGAACAGCGCGTTTGTCCTGCCGTTTCCAGTGTGTATCCCTGCGTGTGCATCGCGACGATCTTTCCATCAAAATCGAAAACTGGGGAACCACTGGCACCCGAAAATAGGCTTGTGTCGTACGGAAGGCAATCTACGTATCGTTTAGTTGCTTTAAGCAGTTCTGTGTTGGTCATGTGTACACCAGTTTGAACACCATGCCGTACATTAAGTTTTTCACGCCAAGAATGATTGCTTACAACGACGCATGTTTCTTCCTGCATTTCCTTACCGCCCGGATGACCAATGATGATAACTCGCCCCTCATGTAATGGGTAACTTCGGACAATGGGACCAAGAAGAAGACGATCACTAAGAACTTGGTTTTCTTTCAAACGCAAGAATTTATAATCCAAGTGCGGGTTCTCGAGCATAGGATCTTGTTCTTCATCAACTTTCACCATCACACTATTTTGTTCTTGGTTAGGATAGAAGAAATCAAATAAAACGTTTATTGGCAATTGGCCATTCTGTGAATCTTCTATTTCCATACCTTCGGTTTGAGTGTCCTCTGTTGCCATGCCTTGAGTGTTTTCTGTTACTTTATTTTGAGCATCTTCTTGTTCCTTACTCAGTTGAGAAATCAATCTTTCAGTATTGAATTGCATATAAACATGAAAGTTAGTTATAACAAGCCTGTCCGAAACAAGCCAACACGTTCCCACAGCATTTCCGCAAGAAATGCGAGCGATGGATTTAACATAAGTTGCCAAAGAAGCGAGAAGTCTTGCAGGCATTTTAGTTGAAGCATTCTTGTAGACATCATTCTTGGCAAAGTTTACAATTTCTTCATTCGCATCGACAATTTTTCCATCATTAGTGCGATTATTTTGATCTAACAAATTATTGTAAGCTGCCGACTTGACATTTTCTGTCATTGACTTACGAATTTTCTTTGTTAGAGGTTTCTTTCTCGACGCCTGATGAGTATACACGTATGTAGCAGAAAATTCTTTGATGTATTTCTCAAGACAAACCAGGTCGTCACTCCGTAGTCTTTCTGTTCTGCTTAGGTTGCATATTTCCTCCATTACCAGGTTTACCCATTCTAAAAATATTTTTTGGAAAAAAACAATACGTAGTTTTCTTTCAGCTTTAAGAGCAGATGTTGAAATTACCGGTTGATGTCTATCAGAAGTTCTTTCATAAAAAATAAAATACATCTGGTGGTTCAAATTACCTGTAACTGGTTGTGCTTCCTGAAATCTAAGCACATTTTTTGAATTTGGTCTTGCTAAATCTGGTTAAAAGTGAAAAAACATTATACATTGTTTCGTATAATTATTAAAGAGTGATCATATTGAGTTCGGTTGAAAAAAGGTTAGGGTTAGGGTTAGGGTTAGGGTTACGTTAGGAAACAAACATTTTCCATGCGCATTGTTCCCAATGCACGGAACTTGAAAACAGGCGCAAAGCAAGCTCATTATCTTTTTCCGATAACTTATGTAAGCAAATATATTCATTTCAACGCATCGCTTTTTGCTAGAGGCATAATCGGAACGCTAAATCACGTTGGATCAGTGCGTCTGCATGACGGGCATTAAAAAATGGCTACATGCATATATATGTAAATTACCTGCAATAGCATTTGCTGCTTGAAATGGTTCGGCTTCCTTTGAAATCGTTTCTTTTGCAGGCGAATCTATTTTGGAGAACGGCGGAAAAAAATATGAACAAATAATTAGTCCATTTGTATTATGTGATATCCGATATTGACATTTAATTAGGAATTTGATATTCCTCCGTTACCATTATCCAATAATACGCAAATCTCCTACTTTTCTTTAAAGGACAACAGCAGAAAAAATCTCATGCATGCATCTATATTGAATTAGCAAAGAGAGTCTTTCATATAATTGACTTTGCACATATAGTTTTTTTTAGAAAAACAAAACAGACAAAATTTCGCTTAAATATACGATTTCTTATAGTTTTCATGCAATTAATTACTGTAAGCTGATAGCTACATAAATCCAGCCAAAAAGATTCGGGAATTCTTCCCGCTGCTGATTTGCAAAAAAAGAATAGGAAGAATTATCATGAAATGCAAACAAGCGGAAAATTTTGGGTATTTTGAAAACATAACCCAACATTACATAATTTATTTCGATTATTCAAAACAATATTCAGCTATAGATCGTGCAAATATAGCCTATACTTGTCCTTCTGTTCCGCTAATTATTTCCTCGATTTTGCTAGTTTAGCGATTCGCGGAAAACAAACATCGCAAATAATCACCTGCTTCCTCCTCTACGCGATTTGCAAGTTCTCGAGCTTTTTCAATTGATTCCATCGCTTTTCTAGTGTTTCCAAGATTGAACCAAGAAACAGCCAAACCAACAAGGGCTTTTTCTTGCTGGATGTGATCTTTATGTTCTGAATCAAAAATATGTCCCGCCTTCTCATAGAATTGAACTGCCGTCTCATCATCACCAGCTTTACAACATACACCCGCAAAGTTAAGACAAGACAGTCCTTCGCGATGTTTATCGTCAAGTTCTGTAGCAACCTTGACCGCTTCGTTGTAATATTCCTTCGCTTGATTATAGTTCCCAGTTTTGTATAATATATGTCCAATGGCTTCGTTTGAACGATATTCTTGATTCTTTTCTCTTGCGCTTTTTGCGATTTCTTTTACCCGCTCGTAAAACATTTTTGCCTCTTTTTCACAGCCTCCCAGGAAACGACAGCAAAATCCACACCATTCATTTAGAATTCCCTCAAATGCATCCTCACGACGACCAGAAACAACTTTTAGAGCCTTCTGAAAACACTCCAGGGCCTCTTCCAATCTTCCAAGATTAACATAACATTTTCCCAATCTTTTCAGACGTAAAGCTTGCTCGTATCCCTCGTCGTCAGAGTCATCTGTCCATATATCACAGAATAATTCGAGTCAAATTTAAAGTAGGAGTTAAAAGCCGTGAGAAGATCTGAGAGAGAATTGGGGTATTCTTCGCGGAGATTTTTCAAGTAAATTTTTCTTAAAAGAGTGCATGCACTTATTAGAAAGGATATTCGATAGTCCCGATTGGCACACATGCATGCAGGGAGTCCTGTGGCTAGAACCTTAATTGAAGGGAGAAAATATTCATGTATTTTTCGTATGCCTGACTGATTTCTTTATATATGAATATATATCGTACCGTAGCTAGAAGCTTAATTGAAGTGGGGGCGTTCAACCCTGAAAGGTTGAACGGAATACCGCTGTGCGCACAGCAGATGCAATGTGAAAAATGTTCATTCGTGAAAAAAATTGAGTGCTGATGGGCCTTAATCTCAGGATTTAATCATCCTCAATCTCGTTCCCCGAACCTGCAATTTCCATGGCGAGGAAACAAAGGTTCCGGGATAATCCAAATCGGAAGCCAGAATTCCTCATTTCCAGTTTTATTGGGTTTGTATTGTGTTACAAGATTTAAATGGCGTGAACGACCAAACAGAATCATCCCTGATTTCGATTATCCCCAGAGCCTTTGTTTTTCGCCCGAGGAAATCGCAAACTCAGGGAACAAAATTGGATCATCCAAAGAAACGACCATATCTGCACGGGACGAAGAGGTACATATTGAAAAATTGCGATCATATGTGGAGACATACACACATAATATTTCAGGATATGCCTGCATGTCATATATATACGATGGAAAATATGAAAAAAGGGAAAGCTGTAGAAAAAATAAGAAATTCAGGACAAATCAATTTTTTGCAGAGCTTATAGAATTGGGTCAATCTATAAGCCTAGAGATAAATCTGTAGCTATCTCCTGTAAACCATGCAGACATGTTCCATGCTATTAATTGTTATGGCCTGTATACAGTACTTTTGTCCCTTTAAACTCTCATTTCAGCGTCAACTGATCAATTGCACTTTCACTTCTAGCCCCAGGATATGCGCGGGTTTTTATTCCCTCCTTTTTCGTGGCAATTAATTTTTTAAAACATTTCATCCCTGACCCTGGCTCATAGTTTCATGAATAAACATCCTCAATTTATTTTGATTCAATGTTCTGTAAATAGCATAACTCAATCGACCTTTTCCATATAACTACCAACGTTTCATTTAGGCTTGAAAAAGTGAAAAAAAATGTGGCCAACTCTGTCTCAGTGTGTTCTGCGAACATACCTGACAAAAGCTCAGTTTCCTGAGATGTTACAGCTCTCTTCGAATTCGATTCCCCTGTAAACGAATCTGTAAAGCAAAGAAATTTAACGGCACTTAACAATTTTAATTTTGCTATTTTAATATGATATTACACAAAATTCGATTCGCTGACGGTCCCATAAATCTGAATAAAAAAGTACTTTACTAAAAAGAAGGTCCAGGCAAAATGAATTTTTCTCAGCACCCTTCATTGCCATATATAACTACTTTATTGAGTTAAAGTTTGCAATTACCAAAATTTAGCATGCAAAAAGTACCTGCAAATGACAATTCTTGAGCTACGTTTTCCGCAAACTTATCATGATACGTGCGTCCATTTTCAGTTGCAATTTTCTCATAGCATTCAATCGCACGTTCAATCTGATTGTTTACAACATAAATATCCCCTAAACCAAAATAGGCACGTATAGCATAATCTCTATCTTCACGCTGCTCTGAATTTTCCAGTGATTTTTCATAGTACTCAATTGCCGTTGAAAACTGATTGCTCAATCTATAAACATCTCCTAACCGAAGATATGCATATGTTTCATTGTCTCTATCTTTTCGTCGCCATGCAATTCCTAATAATTTTTCATAGTGTTCAATTGCCGCTTGAAACTGATTGTTCAAACTATACGCATCTCCTAACCCAAGATATGCTCCTTTTTCATACTCTCTATCTTCTCGTTCCTGTGCAATTTTCAATGATTTTTCAAAGTACTCAATTGTCGTTTGAATCTGATTGTTTAATCTATAAGCATGTCCTAACCCAAGATACGCAAGTGTTTCGCCCTCTGTATCTTGTCGTTCCTGTGCAATTTTCAATGATTTTTCGTAGTACTCAATTGCCGTTTGAATTTGATTATTAAATCTGTAAGCATATCCTAACCAAAGATATCCAACTGTTTCGCTCTCTCTATCTTCTCGTTCCTGTGAAATTTTCAATGATTTTTCAAAGTAACCAATTGCCGTTTGAATCTGATTGTTCCATCTATAAGCCTGTCCTAACCCAAGATATGCACGTGTTTCATACTCTCTATCTTCTCTTTCTTGTGCAATTTTCAATGATTTTTCGTAGAACTCAATTGCCGTTTGAATCTGATTGTTCCATCTATAAGCATGTCCTAACCCAAGATATGCACGTGTTTCATACTCTCTATTTTTTCGCTCCTGTGCAATTTTCAATGATTTTTCAAAGTACTCAATTGCCGTTTGAATCTGATTGTTCAATCTATAAGCATGTCCTAACCCAAGATATGCACGTGTTTCATTCTCTCTATCTTCTTTTTCCTTCGCAATTTTCAATGATTTTTCGTAGTACTCAATTGCCGTTCGAATCTGATTGTTCCATCTATAAGCATGCCCTAACCCAAGATATGCAAGTGTTTCATTATCTCTATCTTCTCGTTCCTGTGCAATTTTCAATGATTTTTCGTAGTACTCAATTGCGGTTCGAATCTGATTGTTCAATCTATAAGCATGTCCTAACCCAAGATATGCACGTGTTTCATTCTCTCTATCTTCTCTTTCCTGTGCAATTTTCAATGATTTTTCGTAGTACTCAATTGCCGTTCGAATCTGATTGTTAAATCTGTAAGCATGTCCTAACCCAAGATATGCACGTGTTTCATTCTCTCTATCTTCTTTTTCCTTCGCAATTTTCAGTGATTTTTCGTAGTACTCAATTGCCGTTTGAATCTGATTGTTCAATCTATAAGCATGTCCTAAGCCAAGATATGCAAGTGTTTCATTCTCTCTATCTTCTCGTTCCTGTGCAATTTTCAATGATTTTTCGTAGTACTCAATTGCCGTTCGAATCTGATTGTTCAATCTATAAGCATGTCCTAACCCAAGATATGCACGTGTTTCATTCTCTCTATCTTCTCTTTCCTGTGCAATTTTCAATGATTTTTCGTAGTACTCAATTGCCGTTTGAATTTGATTATTAAATCTGTAAGCATATCCTAACCAAAGATATCCAACTGTTTCGCTCTCTCTATCTTCTCGTTCCTGTGAAATTTTCAATGATTTTTCAAAGTAACCAATTGCCGTTTGAATCTGATTGTTCCATCTATAAGCCTGTCCTAACCCAAGATATGCACGTGTTTCATACTCTCTATCTTCTCTTTCTTGTGCAATTTTCAATGATTTTTCGTAGAACTCAATTGCCGTTTGAATCTGATTGTTCCATCTATAAGCATGTCCTAACCCAAGATATGCACGTGTTTCATTCTCTCTATCTTCTCTTTCCTGTGCAATTTTCAATGATTTTTCGTAGTACTCAATTGCCGTTCGAATCTGATTGTTAAATCTGTAAGCATGTCCTAACCAAGATATGCACGTGTTTCATTCTCTCTATCTTCTTTTCCTTCGCAATTTTCAGTGATTTTTCGTAGTACTCAATTGCCGTTTGAATCTGATTGTTCAATCTATAAGCATGTCCTAAGCCAAGATATGCAAGTGTTTCATTCTCTCTATCTTCTCGTTCCTGTGCAATTTTCAATGATTTTTCGTAGTACTCAATTGCCGTTCGAATCTGATTGTTCAATCTATAAGCATGTCCTAACCCAAGATATGCACGTGTTTCATTCTCTCTATCTTCTCTTTCCTGTGCAATTTTCAATGATTTTTCGTAGTACTCAATTGCCGTTTGAATTGATTATTAATCTGTAAGCATATCCTAACCAAGATATCCAACTGTTTCGCTCTCTCTATCTTCTCGTTCCTGTGAAATTTTCAATGATTTTTCAAAGTAACCAATTGCCGTTTGAATCTGATTTTTCCATCTATAAGCCTGTCCTAACCCAAGATATGCACGTGTTTCATACTCTCTATCTTCTCTTTCTTGTGCAATTTTCAATGATTTTTCGTAGAACTCAATTGCCGTTTGAATCTGATTATTCCATCTATAAGCATGTCCTAACCCAAGATATGCACGTGTTTCATACTCTCTATTTTTTCGCTCCTGTGCAATTTTCAATGATTTTTCAAAGTACTCAATTGCCGTTTGAATCTGATTGTTCAATCTATAAGCATGTCCTAACCCAAGATATGCACGTGTTTCATTCTCTCTATCTTCTTTTTCCTTCGCAATTTTCAATGATTTTTCGTAGTACTCAATTGCCGTTCGAATCTGATTGTTCCATCTATAAGCATGCCCTAACCCAAGATATGCAAGTGTTTCATTATCTCTATCTTCTCGTTCCTGTGCAATTTTCAATGATTTTTCGTAGTACTCAATTGCCGTTTGAATTTGATTATTAAATCTGTAAGCATATCCTAACCAAAGATATCCAACTGTTTCGCTCTCTCTATCTTCTCGTTCCTGTGAAATTTTCAATGATTTTTCAAAGTAACCAATTGCCGTTTGAATCTGATTGTTCCATCTATAAGCCTGTCCTAACCCAAGATATGCACGTGTTTCATACTCTCTATCTTCTCTTTCTTGTGCAATTTTCAATGATTTTTCGTAGAACTCAATTGCCGTTTGAATCTGATTGTTCCATCTATAAGCATGTCCTAACCCAAGATATGCACGTGTTTCATACTCTCTATTTTTTCGCTCCTGTGCAATTTTCAATGATTTTTCAAAGTACTCAATTGCCGTTTGAATCTGATTGTTCAATCTATAAGCATGTCCTAACCCAAGATATGCACGTGTTTCATTCTCTCTATCTTCTTTTTCCTTCGCAATTTTCAATGATTTTTCGTAGTACTCAATTGCCGTTCGAATCTGATTGTTCCATCTATAAGCATGCCCTAACCCAAGATATGCACGTGTTTCATTCTCTCTATCTTCTCTTTCCTGTGCAATTTTCAATGATTTTTCGTAGTACTCAATTGCCGTTCGAATCTGATTGTTAAATCTGTAAGCATGTCCTAACCCAAGATATGCACGTGTTTCATTCTCTCTATCTTCTTTTTCCTTCGCAATTTTCAGTGATTTTTCGTAGTACTTAATTGCCGTTTGAATCTGATTGTTCAATCTATAAGCATGTCCTAAGCCAAGATATGCAAGTGTTTCATTCTCTCTATCTTCTCGTTCCTGTGCAATTTTCAATGATTTTTCGTAGTACTCAATTGCCGTTCGAATCTGATTGTTCAATCTATAAGCATGTCCTAACCCAAGATATGCACGTGTTTCATTCTCTCTATCTTCTCTTTCCTGTGCAATTTTCAATGATTTTTCGTAGTACTCAATTGCCGTTTGAATCTGATTGTTCAATCTATAAGCATATGCTAAGCCAAGATATGCAAGTGTTTCATTCTCTCTATCTTTTCGTTCCTGTGCAATTTTCAATGATTTTTCGTAGAACTCAATTGCCGTTTGAATCTGATTGTTCCATCTATAAGCATGTCCTAACCCAAGATATGCACGTGTTTCATACTCTCTATTTTTTCGCTCCTGTGCAATTTTCAATGATTTTTCAAAGTACTCAATTGCCGTTTGAATCTGATTGTTCAATCTATAAGCATGTCCTAAGCCAAGATATGCAAGTGTTTCATTCTCTCTATCTTCTCGTTCCTGTGCAATTTTCAATGATTTTTCGTAGTACTCAATTGCCGTTCGAATCTGATTGTTCAATCTATAAGCATGTCCTAACCCAAGATATGCACGTGTTTCATTCTCTCTATCTTCTCTTTCCTGTGCAATTTTCAATGATTTTTCGTAGTACTCAATTGCCGTTTGAATCTGATTGTTCAATCTATAAGCATATGCTAAGCCAAGATATGCAAGTGTTTCATTCTCTCTATCTTTTCGTTCCTGTGCAATTTTCAATGATTTTTCGTAGAACTCAATTGCCGTTTGAATCTGATTGTTCAATATATAAGCATCTCCTAACCCAAGATATGCACGTGTTTCATACTCTCTATTTTTTCGCTCCTGTGCAATTTTCAATGATTTTTCAAAGTACTCAATTGCCGTTTGAATCTGATTGTTCAATCTATAAGCATGTCCTAACCCAAGATATGCACGTGTTTCATTCTCTCTATCTTCTTTTTCCTTCGCAATTTTCAATGATTTTTCGTAGTACTCAATTGCCGTTTGAATCTGATTGTTCAATCTATAAGCATGTCCTAACCCAAGATATGCAACTGTTTCATTCATTCTATCTCCTCTTTCCTCTGCAATTGACAATGATTTTTCGTAGTACTCAATTGTCCTTTGAATATGATTTTTTAATCTAAAAGCATGTCCTAACTCAAGATATGCAAGTGTTTCGCCCTCTGTATCTTCTCTTTCCTGTGCAATTTTCAATGATTTTTCGTAGTACTCAATTGCGGTTTGAATTTGATTATTAAATATGTAAGCATGTCCTAACCCAAGATATGCAAGTGTTTCGTTCTCTGTATTTTCTCTTTCCTGTGCAATTTTCAATGATTTTTCGTAGTACTCAATTGCCGTTTGAATCTGATTGTTCCATCTATAAGCATATCCTAACCCAAGATATGCACGTGTTTCATTCTCTCTATCTTCTCTTTCCTGTGCAATTTTCAATGATTTTTCGTAGTACTCAATTGCCGTTTGAATCTGATTGTTCAATCTATAAGCTTGTCCTAAGCCAAGATATACAAGTTTTTCATTGTGTCTATCTTCTCGCTCCTGTGCAATTTTCAATGATATTTCGAAGTACTCAATTGCCGTTTGAAATTGATTGTTCAATCCATGAGCATATCCTAACCCAAGATATGCAATTGTTTCATTCTCCCTGTCTTTTCGTTCCTGTGCAATTCTCAATAATTTTTCATAGTACTCAATTGCCCTTTGAAACTGCTTGTTTAATCTATAAGCCTCTCCTAACCCAAAGTATGCACGTGTTTTGTTTCTTTTCTTTCCTATTTGGAATGGAATTTCTAAAGATTTTTCATAGTATTCAATTGCCTCCCTAAGTTTCTTCTTTGACAAATAATAATCTCCTAATACAATGTTTATCCCAGCCATTTCCTATTTGGCATACAGTAATTTTTCTGAAATTTGCAATTCTAGTCAATCGTTGCTGAAGAAGATTGTCGTTGAACAAGCTAGGCGTCTCTAATGTGCTTTTCTATAGGGCTTTTCTTTGTTCACAATACGTTAGAAATCCTTTGTAGTGCTGTGTGCTTTAATTGCTGGAGGAAAAGAAAAAAACTCTTATGTCATGGGGTGGGCAGGTTTTGGCGAACGAGTCAGGTGGGGGAGGGGGATCTCGTGTGATATTGACCAACTTTTGCAATGATTGTGTAATTCATTTACACTGGTACTTTTTTTCATAATAATTTAGTTACATTCTTCCGGCCGTAGTACAAAATTCGTCAATTATTTTTTCCGTAATTTACAACAATTTGCAGGTATTCTTGGCAGTTTTACTAATGTTAGTGTGTTCCTTCAGAAAATTTCTTTTTTATCGCCGAGTTAAGAAATCAAGCGCAAGTGCACTCGTGAATGGGTAACTAAAAACCAATGCAAAGTCGCGCATGGTATCTCTATAACTATAAGGTCTATTCCCCAGCACAAGTTTCGTCATCCGTGAATGTGATAGAGGTACGCGACTTTTCGCACTCCCCCTTCGTAACGGCAGTTTAGAATGCATGGCACAGAGACCACGGTTCGTCATTCGTCTTTGAAAACCAAAATGTTTATAGGCCTGGCAACGGACTGAGTCGTTTCGGTTTGGTATAAATTTACCCTCAATTGTGGCAATAAAATTTGAGAGACCCAAATCAGTATGATTATTACAAACGGGTTGCTAAAAGTTAGGTGCAGACAAAGACAGATCCCCCCCAGTCCCAGAAAATTAAACTAATCTTAGAAGTCTATAGCCCTCTTTCAAAACAAGATAAATTTTACGTTATTAATAGTTCAGGTAATGCGATATATTTTCAAAAGGCTATGGTAACTCTTCTCTGTAGACCCCCCCACCCCCAAGCAGTTTTCCCCAGCCCCCACCAAATTCTCTGTGTAACCTTGGTTGTTGTAATTGCACTCTTGTTCATAACTAATAAAAATCACCACAGTGTTATCATTTAGGATACAAAATATAGTTAATAATGACGAATTTTAATAATTCTAATAATAATTTCTAATAATAATAATTCTTTTAATAATTATTTACCAAGTTTAGTGGGATAAAAACTTAATAATTATAATGAAGTTCAATAAATCGTGCAATTGCATACCTGCATTTTGTAACCTCGTATTAATTGGCATTAATTGCACTCCTATTCGTTCTATTACAATGATTTATGAGCAATAGCTCGACAGGACGATATCCTGCTCTGTTAAGCGTCAATCATGACGATTTTCGTACAAGTTTGTTTCCGAATGTATCAAATGTTTGACACACGCACAGTTATTTTTAACCAGGAATTCTGGTTGCCAATTTGGATTATCCGAGAGCCTCTGTTTGCAAGGGATTGTGGGCTTACGACCTGTACGCACCACGTACCTCTTTTTTCACTGTCACGGAAGTTCAACGTATACAGAAAAGCGCATAAAATGCACGTGACGTCCATAATGGCGTACAGCGTACTTGTGTTATCAATTTAGCAGGCTGCCTTAGCCAATGACTTTCGAAAAATAATGCGGGTTACAGGCAAGAGTGCTCGTCATTCTATTTCTTGATATCATATATAGATATAATATGCTATTGATTTAGTGAATCGCACACTAAAATTTCCGTATAATTATCAATTTTTGTATTTGAAGTTTGGACGGTCTTTTAAATATAGATGAAAACCCATATAAGGTGTTTACCTCCTTAATTTCGAATATTTCCATACGAAAGGTAAAGCATACGCTTGGATTTGACTCTAATATGCATTAATTTTACTGTATTATACATAGAATAACATAGTTTAATTTACTTCGACATACCTGTCCACAAATGGCTCAAACTTCCGTATTGAAATAATATGACATTATTCCACATATCGAGACGTTTGTGTGAAAAGCATTTATATATATAAAATGCGCATCAACTCAACAAGCATATTTTAACCACAGATATTTCTTCGTCTTGGATGTTCCGACTTCCGAAATAAAATGCATGTCTCTTACGTCATCATCCTCGTTTCCAGGTTTTCTGCGTACTGCGTGGGCTACAGCCTACAGCCTAACATCATCTAACGAATGAATCAAAGGCCGACAGGCCGGACCCACAAAGTTTCTTCATTGGCGCCGGTTGTATAAAAAGGCAGTTAACTTTAAACTATGGTTAGTGGCAGAATTGGTCAATCAGATCTTATTTGATCAGAATCAGTATTTTCGAAAAAGTGAGAAAAGTAAAATACTTGAATAATGGGATAATTGCTGATCAGTAACAAAATCTGAACTGACCTTGCTTGCTTTGAAATCTCTTTTTAACATTATTTTCTTTTTACGAGAATATAATCCAAAAATCCAAACATAATCCACATTGACGTTTTTGATTATATTTTCTTTTTTTAAGTGGTATTTATCAAGGCTTTGTGAATTATTTGTCATGCTGTGGTTAGTTCAGTTAACCAGCTGAATTAGAAGTGATAAAATTAATTAACAGGTCAGGTTACACAAACACTAAATTAATCGTAGGGTCTAATGATAAGCTACAGTATACATATTATTTAGATCACCGTGCAAATGGTAGGAAACCAAGGACGCTGGAATGGCGAGCAGCTGCTTCCCTAGCTTTTACCAGGAGAGGGAAATGCCCTTTCATTTTATTAAAGGATTTCGTTCCCTATCTCAGTAGAGGTGCGACTGGCGAGCAAAGTCTGAGCACAATCGTCTGGTGAAAAACCCCCAAACACCGAAATATTTTAGAAAGAGAAACACAATGAAACGAAGTTCAACAGACGATGTTTGGCAAACAGTTTCTAGGATGTGCCGCTACAGTTTGAGGTGCCTTTCAAAAAAATTCCCCTCCGCTTTGAAAGGGTAGTGAATGGGGGTTGTACTGGTACATGAGTATATTAAGTCTCATAACTATTATTACACTTATTATCAAAACTAATAATTCAAAGCAACACAAACGCTCTCCGCGTCCTTTTTCTACCATTCGTTATATTCAGTTATAAACGTGCAAAATACTAATCTCTCTAGATTCCATTCTAGTTACAAGTTGTAATCTTTTCACGGTTTTTCAAATTTCAAGCTCAAGTCCTAGTCTGCTTGCCATAAAAACAACTTGTGAAAGAGAAATAAAGGCAAATTTAGTGATTAACGTCTTCTTTTATTGGGACCTCATCAGTAGCCAAGTTATGATCTGGAAATAATTTTTCGACAACAGTTCCGCCGTACTTTCGCTTGATGTCTTCACAAATCGCATTAAACTGCAAACCAAGCTCCATCAGTGAATACCGTTTTTTCTCCATGCCCATGGCTAGTTGGTGCACTGAGCGTGCATTGCGACGATGTTTCCGTTCATATAAAAAACAGGAGAGTCACTGGCTCCTCAAAAGAGACTTATCGTAGGGCAGACAAAGGCAGACATTCTCTGTCAGTTGCATCATGGATAATAAAATCATAGGTCTTTTAACTATCCATGGTTGCATCGAGCAGTTCGTTGACTTCGTTGTTGGTCATGTGTGCACCAGTGTGAACCACTGTGTGTGAGCTGTGAACACTTCGACCTAATGAGCATGCGCGGTGTGCAGTGTACGTTCGACAAATTCAAGATGGAGGACGAATTAAAGAAAGCCGAGCATGTTTCGCACAAAGATCCTGAGAGGGCCATGGAACTTTTGTCCGCTATAGGTGCGTATTTTGTTTCATATCAAGAGGAATACTGTTAATTCTGTCAAACACATTATTTGTATGGTATAATTAGTCGCATAAGAGTATTTTGTCATTAAAAGGCAGAATCCACAGAGGATAAAATTTGGCATTTTAATCATTATGCTTTTATATAAGACTAATAGAACAAAAACCAAAGTCCTATTGATGATCTTATTCAATGTCTGAACCATCGATAAAATCCAACCCCATGTATGATGTTTGGAAATATAATACTTAATAGTCAATGTTTTTTTAATAATCTGATGCTGTTGATTGACCCAATATGCCGAGACAGTAAGATGTATAATGCTAAATAATAAGAGAAAACCATGCCAAAGATCATGTGGATTTACTCTATTGAATGCCAAAACCCTTGCTTCATTTTTATTAATACCGGTACTAAAATTAACTTATAATGGTTATTACTTTAACAAGTGTGTTAAATAAGAATATATATTCATGGCAATTTTTTGAACATTCTAGTAATTGTGTACCCTTGCCCACTTTCCTCCAAATTTTGATCTGAAGCATTTTTTGTTCTAAAACTGTTCTAAAAATGCTTTACAAGCAATAAAACTGTAGATATCAATTGACCTAACATTTAATCGAGGGAAAAGCTTCTAACGAATGCTGAGTTTTATCAGACTCGTCCTAAAACATTTATCCTGTGTATATAGCTATTGAGTTATAGTACAATATTAATGTTATAGTTTGTTAGCTGGCTTGACTTAAAGGACGTCAAGATCTTGACAATGTGCAATCTTGATCCCACTTTCACTCTTTAAGTGCCATTGATCAACTGTTTTATGATTCACTCGAAATCCACTAGGCACGTAGTAACCAACTTTATTGTTTTAATGTAGTTAAAAGAGATGTAGATGTTACAAATGAAGATGACTTGAGAGTAAAGGAACAAGCTATTTTAGATCTAGGTTCATTGTTGGCAAAGAATGGACGTGCAGCAGGTACCATGATTAATATCAATATAGAAGTATTGAGTTAATATTGTATTTTTATAACTTCACTGTAACCCAGTTCATTTTTATAAGCATTAAACATTAACTAATCATAAAAATCTAAAAGCATTTCTAAAGGTAGAAATTTCTTTGCAAATTTTTTATGCAGATTGAAAACGTTTGGTTTTTCATTATTTAGCTGTGCAATTTATATTTTAGGCATTTTTTGCCTTTGTTTGAGAAAATGATTACTGTATTATTAATCCTTAGAAACTGAGGATGTATGAGCTAGTGATAAAATCAAAGTCACAGAACATATACTAGTGATACTGCATTTTAAGTTGTGTATACTGTTTTAAACAGCAGCACCCCTTTAATGAACACTAACTATTGTTTTGAAAAAATAACTAAAAATATTCTTCTAATTTTACGTATTAAAATATAAGTAAATTGGTTTATAACAATAATAAGAATTATTATTAAAATAAGTAATTGCACTTGGGTATTATAATTAGTAATTGCGTTGATGAAGGCCTGGGTTAACAGACTGAAAGCTTTGCAATATTAAATACTTACATGGTATACCTACAAACTAATTTACTTAAATAACTAGTTTTTATCTTCAAAACTATAGTTTATACTTTAGATGCATGGTGAAAATGGATGTAGACATACTTCTATTTAGATTCTCTATGCTTAGATCAATAGCTAGATAAAAGGCTATATATAGAGGTATTGCATCAGAATTTTGTTCATTTGAAACACTTTTCCAATATGCAGAACTTGAAGGACTGGTGAAGTTTATTCAACCCTTTATGCTGCTTATTTCCAAAGCTAAAGCTGCTAAAATGGTCCGGGAATTACTTGATCTTTTTCTCGATATGGAGGTATCCACTGGTACAGAGGTGAGTTCTCAACAGATTTTAAATCGTTCCCCAGCACTGATTGGTTGAAAATCATGTTTGGATTCAGGATTCCTGCCAAAATTTATTTGGCCAAACTTATTTAAAACTTTCGAATGCATGAACTTATCTAGATGTTTTTAAAGCTTATTGACATTACAGTAACGTTATTAAAATTCGCCTGCTGCTCGTATTTCGTAGGCATCGTCCACTGTCGCTTCCTGTGTGTTTCTATTATGTTATTCAAGCATGGAAAACAAAATAAAATATCCAGTTACGTGGCTCTGGTGGTTTACATATGTTCATGCACTACTTGGGTCGTTTTCATAACGGAAAAGTTATTAAAACGTCAGTAAATAGTGGTGTTCTAGTATTCTTGTCAAAGTTAGTGCAGGGTTTAGCTATTTATGATCAAAGTTCTCAGTTCTTTGACATCTCGAAAATAATAAGAAAATTTAGACGTTAGGATGAAGAACCTTCGGATTTAGAATTTTATGTGCGTAGAAAAAATAGCGAAAAGCAGCCTCTACTACATATATTATAATGTATATGTATCGCATTTAACAGGTTGATTTGTGTCTTGAATGCATCCAGTGGGCAAAGAGTGAAAAAAGAGTGTTTTTACGACAAGCTTTAGAGGTCAGTATATGCGTAATGAGTACACTGTATGTTATTGTATACTGTATGATACACATACCGTATTTAGTGTAAAATACTTTCGTTCAGCTGCGTGACTTTAAAACGGATATACACCCTTTTAAATTTAGTCGAGATTGGTTGGCTTATATTATGGTGTAAGAGAGTACACAAAAGCTCTGTCACTGGGTATGTAAAATGTCATTTCATTTTCTAAAGCTGTGAAAATAATGTACCTATGCGTTCTTATTATACCTACAGACCTGCATGGAATTTGATGGGATATACATGCAGGTTGCGTCATGTAAATTATGTGAAACTCTCTAGGTTCGAAATTATTGAAAGAGCTGAAAAAACTGGACGATAAGATGTTATTGGTCGAAGTACAGTTATTGGAAAGTAAAATATATCACTCGTTAAAGAACATTCCCAAATCAAGGTACATTTGAACTTTATAACGCGTGCTTGCCTTAGCGACAGTAAAAGAGTCTCCCTCTGCATGACGACTGTGAGTGCATGGAGATGGCTCAAATGCATATGGCCATCAAAAAGCTGCTTTAACCAATCTGAAAGAGTTTTCGCAATTCAGCAAGTGTACTTAGAGTAGTCGCCCTAAGACCATTTTTAATATTGCTATATAGAGGGACGAGGGCTTCAGTTTGAACATGACAAAAATAGCGCTTATGGCAAAAAAAAATGGAGATTACCTTTCGTATTGTATTCTGTGGGACTCTGCCCGAATGCCAACGAGGCCGTTACGGTAATGGTTAACCAAGCAACAGGCGTGCAAAGATATGTTTTTGCCCAACAACCATGATAACGTTCATCATCTGTGCGATTTTAAGCGCTGATTACATTACACAATTAAAATTACAGTACTTTTTCATTTTCCGTAGGGCTGCTCTTACGTCGGCACGGACGACTGCCAATGCGATTTACTGTCCACCGAAATTGCAGGTAGGTGTGCAGTTGAAATTTGACTATATACGCACATCAAAGGACAATTAAATTTCACTCGCTTCTACATCGAATGACATCATTAAGGACTGGTTGTACGAGGTACATGTACGCTGTAGTTAATTTTACTATTGACTTGAGTATTTTGTTGTTAGCTACCCAAAATTAGGCTCATCCTCTGGGGCCGGTTGTTCAAAACCCGGTTAGCTTAACCCTGGGTTAAAGCAAATCTTTACATCAATTTTTTAATCGCATGTTCACAAAGTTGAACTTCTTTTTCCATAAATATTTTCTGGACCGACAAAAGGCATATTTCGTGAGGGTTTTAAAACAAACAGCGGTTTAGAGGCACTTAACCAAAACAGTGGATTAAAATTTAACCCAGGGTTAGCGCTAACCCAGCTTTGAACAACCGGCCCCAGGCATCTATTATGTATTAATTAGTTATAACCCATGTCTAATGTAATTTAATACATAAGAAATGCCTGCGGAGGAGGCTAACCCAAAATGAGGTTCGACAATTTTACAGGTCAACGATTTTGCGTCTATATAGCTAATTTCTTCTGATAAAGACTAAAGTGCCAAACTATGATAACAGAGTGGATTACTCGCCTGATTCACAAGCTATCGTTTGTTTTCACAGAAATACTTTTATCAATTATCCCGTCTTTAACATCTTTTGCATTTTAACCTTTGTTTTTAGGCCGCCTTGGATATGCAGTCAGGTTTGTCTATCACATTGTATTTTCGATATGTCACTATGCGCTCTTACTGTAGCCCGGATAGTCCTTGAATAACTGAAATAAGGGATATTCAGTGCAGGATGTAGCGTCACACCTAGTCCATGTTGAGCAACATCCCAGCTTATTATACGCGGTACAAATTTTTAAAATGTAAATAGACGATAGTTGTTTGATCATGGTTTTAATTCCTATTTTCAGGTATTCTCCACGCCGAGGAAAAAGACTTCAAAACGGCTTACTCTTACTTTTATGAAGCCTTCGAGGTACAGTAAATGTGTTAGATGCATGGACTACAGTAGCTATATGCGAGGCGTAAAGGAAATCGTTCCTTGAGAAAGCCCTGTACTATATTTGCTGGAATAAACAGTATACGAACAAATTAACATACGAAGAGCCTGGCTTGCGAGGTTGTTGCAAGCATAGATTTGTTAAATTTGCTATCAAGCTTTCCCCCCGTTATTTAACTTCTGAAATGTAGAAGTGACCAATGAATTCATGGTTTAAAACATTGCGCTTTTTATTGTTGAGCTCTTGAGTTCTTTCCGAATTTATGTTCGCTGGAATTTTGAGATGCTTCATATTTTTATAACAATATTAATATAGCTGTATAACAAATATGCGAGACATAGCTACAAGCAGTAATAATAGATTTAAATACAGTACCTTGCTTGCAAACGCTCCTTTAAAAATCGTAATGATGATGAAATGAAGGTGATGATGATATAAATAAAAAAATAATTAAGAACTTTCCCTGCACTACAATATCCCTCATTGGTCCTCGCTTTCCCGCGATTGTTTACGCCTGCTTTGTTCTGTAGGGTTATGACTCTCTAGAGAATCCTAAAGCACCGGCGGCATTAAAGTACATGTTGCTTTGTAAGATTATGCTGAGCAGGTATGTATAAAAAGAGATGTCATTGCGTTACAGCAGTATTACAGTGGTGTTACAGAGGTTGTTAGGGCAACATATTTCAGTGACGGTTCTTTGTTTGACATCTTTTTGATGAAAAATGATACGAAATATCGCGCTGATGCATGTTTCCACATGCATAAACGAAAGGCGGAAATATGTAACATTGGCACAGACTCCATCATCGCTATTCTGAGACCACATATTATATCAATTGACAATCCATCCTGTAACAGCAGACTACTGTGCACCATCTTCATCCGAAATATCTGGATGTTTTTGCGCCAATGTCCATGCTTTAATGTTATTTCTGTAAGCTTTCCACTGTTTTCTTCTTTCGACGTCCTAAATTTAACATTAAAATTTACCATTGCAACCGACTGTCATTTTTCCACAGTACTTTTCTACATGTACATCATGTACAGACTGTAATTCCAGAACACGGTTGATATTTTCCCTCCTTATAGTCCCGAAGATGTGCAGTCAATCATCAGCGGCAAACTTGGCCTCAAATACTCTGGACCCTCGGTAAGTCAACCCGGGCGGATATTTTGAACCAGTGCCTGTACAAATATCCTTAGTGCATCTTTTTCAAAATGATCTACATATTTCCCAATTTTTATGTAGAGTTTTTACCGAATGTCATGCATGCGTAAAGTTTGACGTCACTTTTTAGTCAAAAAACTTAAAACATAAAAAAGAAAAATAACAAAATTTTAGAAATCGCGGGAGTAACTTACTAACTTACTTCCTACTCTCTAATTGGCGCTCTAAGTAGTTTGTGTTCATTTTCCCTTGCAATATGATTTCTTTTTTAGCTACAAGCGATGAAAAAGATTGCTGATGCCAGCCATCAGCGCTCACTTCTTGAGTTTAAAAAGGTAACTCTATACGCATTCACGCAAAAAGTCATACAGTGAATCAGGACCAAAAGCTATATATATATATATATATATATATTTATATATATATATATATATATATATATATATATATATATATATATATATATATATTATATATATATATATATATACAGGGTGTATCAAAAAAAATGTCCCAAATGTAAAAATTCCGTTTTTCAGGATATTTTGCAGAATTTGGCAAATTTTTGTGTTCCTAGGCCAAGTTTGGTTTTTCAGTAACAAAATTATGTTACCGGGGGGGTGGTTCCTTTCCACTGATATTTAGAGGGCTTGCGCGCAAAAATGTGAAGCTGAAATTGAGATATTATTTAGCTGTCTAAAAGTAGGAAAGCTTTTTAATAAACTGTCAAAGTTTCAGGAAAAATAATGCATACTGGGAGCAACGCGCGACCCTAAAGGTGACAAATATTTCATTGCGCGCAGTGGATTAAATGCATGGTTGATTTTAGCGTGACCGATCTCATACAAGGTGGGCAAATGAATAAATTAAAGCGAGAAACTGAACACAAAAACAAAGCGATTTATTCGTGATGTTAATCCTCAGCATGTCCACCATTTCATTCTAAGCAAACTGCGGCTTGCCTTAGCATACTAAACACTGAACAGCGAATCATTTGTCTGTCCATTCGCCTAGATTTGCCGGTGGTAGCGTAGGCGATTTGCAAGAAAGAATTTCGAACGAAATGGATAATTTAAGGCAGGACAGACAAATGTGGTTCGCCGTTCAGTGTTTACCATGCTGAGACGAGCCGCAGTTTGCTTAGAAAGAAATGGTAGAAATGTTGAGGATTAACATCAAGAATAAAACTCTTGTTATTAAATCGCTTCGTCTTCTTGTTCAGTTTCTCGCTTTAATTTATTCATTTGCACAGCCTTGCATGAGATTGGTCACGCTAAAATCAACCATGCATTTAATCCACTGCGCGCAATGAAATATTTGTCACTTTTAGGGGTCGCGCGTTGCTCCCAGTTTGCATTATTTTTCCTGAAACTTTGACAGTTTATTAAAAAGCTTTCCTACTTTTAGACAGCTAAATAATATCTCAATTTCAGCTTCACATTTTCGCGCGCAAGCCCTCTCAATATCAGTGGAAAGGAATTACCCCCCCGGTAACATAATTTTGTTAATGAAAAACCAAACTTGGCCTAGGTATACCAGATAAGTCTTAACTATCTCTAGGAACACAAAAAATTGCCAAATTCTGCAAAATATCCTGAAAAGCGGAAATTTTACATTTGGGACATTTTTTTTGATACACCCTGTATATATATATATATATATATATATATATATATATATATATATATATGTATATAAAGTATAAACGTATAAAAGTCTTTTCGTCTTTTCTTTACATTGCCGTTGGAACATTTTGTTTTGCTGGTACGGTCCAAAAAAATAGTTGAGACCAAGTACCAAGCACATGCACACTAAGAAATAATCATTCCTGAATTTAGTTTCTACTTTTCGCATGCTGTGCCTAATCATGATGCAGTTTAAAAGAATTGCATTTTTGTGTGCATGGCTGTCATTTATGATTCCCCGTCATTGAATTTCGTACTGTATTCTTTATATTTTACTATTGCTTTTTTATGCCTGGGTACACAGAAATTTATCTACATTAATGTTTGATTGCTTAGATACTTGCAACATACAATGAGGAATTACAAGGGGACCCAATAATCCAAGTAAGTCAACAATTAAACCAGAGAGCAACTGGCATGTATGCATACATGTAGCATCTTCAAACAACTTCGCATCAAAAGCGGTATAACAACTGCCTAAACTTAACAAAAACACTATTTGACGTTTCCACCTTCATCGAGCAAGTTAGTTAAGAGTTATACTAACTCCCCTTACAAAAGTCCTTAGCTTTTGGTCGAATCGTCGGGAATCTTTTTTATTTTAGGCACTTGTTATGCTATGCACATTTGATGATAAGTCAACAATAAGTCTCAACATGCAGACTTTATATATCACAATTCAATTAACGCGAATTTTAAGACGTTCCATCTGCTTTTTTAATTGTTTTCTTTTTTTCAGAATCATCTCGACACCTTATACGACAACCTTCTGGAACAAAACCTGTGCCGTATTGTGGAACCTTTCTCTAGAGTTGAGGTGATTAATACATATACACCTATTCGGTTAGCTGTAGATAAAATTACAGTTAATCTTTCCTTGCTTCGCGATGATAAAAACGGTGCTGCATGACATCGCTCCATCGTATATGTTCTTGAATCTGCGTGATTAAAGCTCAGCAACCGTCTCCAGCTCAGTCGGTTTTATTTCTGTTCATGCAGTTCTTTGAGCCAGTCGGCCTAAATTTTCTTTCCTGTCCCTGCTTCAGGTTAGGTCTATAAATTGTATTAGGAAATTTCTCCCTTTGTGTTCAAAAAAGGATTCATGTACTGTAGCCAATAACTTACTGCAGCAAATTCGGAAACACAAGTTGATTAATGTTATACATAGATTTACCCGAAGGAACAACTGTATAGTTCTCTAAAATCTATTAGGCTATCATGCAATCTTCTTTCTCTTATGCATAATCTGGACAACGTGACTATACTGCATCATGGATAGTAAGTTAAGCGGCCGGAAGACTGTGCGTCCCGACAACATCTCTTGCGATTTGTTTAGGAATGTTATTTGTTGGGCAATTTTTGTATCAGTTTGATATAGTAATCAGTCTGCATCGTTAGCATCATCCTGCATGTATCATATAATACGATCGGATTCTTTAGGGATTCTAAAGATATTCTGTGTCACAATACAAGAAATTTTATAATTTAACTGCAAATTAAGTATATATGAACTTCAGGTTGCTTTATAATGTGTTTATGGATTTTTTAGGTTGATCATGTTTCCCATTTAATTAAATTGGATAAGGTAAGTATTCGTTAGTAGAAGTACTTAGGAAGTACATGTATGTGTTTCCGTACGATCGTCCGTAAGATGTCTGTCTTGATTCCTTTCAGAACATCGTTGAAAAGAAGTTGTCCCAAATGATATTAGATACGAAACTACACGGTGAGTTAACTCTTTGAGCTCTGAAAGTGACCCATGCCCCATTAACCCAAAAAGGATTATGGCTATTTTACAAATATTTCCCTTTTATATTTTTCCCCGCACTGGGGAATGCATAAAATCTCAGTCACCAATAGACTTGCCCATCACCCGGGCATCAACATTTTCCGGCTCATGGGAGAAATTAACACTATTTGAAACGTAAATATGCATGAAATGTTTTCAACTTACAGGTATTCTTGACCAAGGTGCTGGGGTTCTGATAATCTTCGACCACTCCCCAGTGGATAAAACGTACGAAAATAGCTTGGAGATAATTCATAGCATGAGTAAAGTGATGGATGCTTTGTATCATAAGAGTAAAAAGTTATCATAGACACCTACTCAATGAAACCTTATTCATATACTATTTAGTTTTCATCTTGTGCCATTTTTTCAGTTCAAAATATAATAATTCATTTTGTCTTGGTAATTTAACCACAGTATACAAGATGTATGAAACGGAAGGCCTTTATAGAAATTGGTTTCTTGTTTTTTTTTCCTGTGTAACAGTATATCATGTTCTTTGCGAACGAATTACCACGTGCACAACCATTGAATTAAGCGAGTGACAAAAATAAACAAGATGGACGGCGGCGCTCTACTCGATAAAAGCAAAACACATTTTCGCCAAGGCTAATCCGCTACACCATCTTACAGGTGCAGGCGTTGAATTTACAGCTTTACTACAACTTGCAGGGCATCAGATCCCAGAACAGTGGAAAATGATATATGACGTCATATGACGATATATGACGTCACATAATGGTGTGTGACTCTTAAAAGCAGGCTGGCATTTTGAAGCAGTTGCGATTTTTTTGGGATTATTGTAAAAGGAAAATCTCTGAATTTTTAAAACAAGACAAGTTTGTGGGGACACCGGAACGATGCGAGGGCAAAGAACGCAGATTTGTGTGAAGGAGAGCTTCTGTAGCGGCGCATAATAAAAAAAGTTTCCAAAACATCGTCTGTTGAACTTCGTTTCGTCGTGTTTTCTCTTCCCAAAATAATTTCGGTGTCTGGGAGCTAGAAATTATCATCAGACGATTGTGTGCTATTCTTGATGCTCGTTGGTGGCACTTTTTAATCTTGTATTTTCAAACAAATCAATCATTGCTTTTTATTAATGATCATATGGAAATTACAAATGTCGATTACGATGAAATGTTAGATGTAAGGCATTCTATTTTGTTGCTACGCCAGTGTTCGAGATATAATGACTGATAATAGAAATGTACAATTAATCATAATAACAAAGTAACTTCAGTAAATCATAAATTAAATGTTGATGGTGGTTTGGGGAAACGAAAGTAGAAACATACGATTACGAATGTTCCACACGTTTGAAAAAAAAAAAGCTCGGCCTCAGGTCCTCCAGCAGGAATCGAAGCTACGGCTGTGCGATTCCGGCCAGAGCTGTTCTCTTTCCATGCACCATCAACATTTAATTCATGTTCAATTGAAAACAAGTGCAAATTAAATGAAATGCAATAACCAATCAATAAGCCGCGATATAGTCGTGTTATATGTTCTTAAAATCCGTTAATCTGATCACTTCGTTTAGTCTAAGAGGGTATAAGAGATACGTGTTGAAAGATGAGCCTCATCTCGGCAACACCGCGAGTAGCACTCGGACCTTTCCCCGCTCTTGCCTCCGCGCCGACTAGCCTGAAATCTGAGTCAGCCCTAAACTCCTGATCTAGCGCCATTCCCCATCCTCCTTTGTTTCCGTAGATCGGGCTTGACGTTCCATCGCTGAAATGAAACTGGATTTTTGCCAAAAGGCCTTCGGCATAGCCCAAGCTTCCCCCAATCACATGCCTTCCCTCGAGGATGATCTCGTTCTTCAAAGGGGCCTTGTCGTCCGAAGAATCATCGCCATACTTCGTTCCCATGCCACGGTCTTCGTAGGAGAACTGGATCCTATCAACGGTGTTCCACGCGTAGACGCAAATCGACTTAATGATTCCACACTTATCAGACTGCAGGGAGCCGTCTATATTTAATCGATCGCTGTCAGGATGAAGTCCTCCTTTCAAAGCAATGGAATAGGGGCCGTAGCTTACGCTACCAACTTTCGAATCCGCTTTAGGATCGTCCTTGTGATGGCCTGGAAGGAAGTTGTCGAGAGAAAACGCTCTTATGTAGGCTTCCATCATCATCTTAGCATCGGCTTCGTGAAACATTCTTTCCTTAGCGCGATATTGAACCGGCTTGAAGTAATTCTCTATCGCGTTCCAATCGTCTTTGTAAGTCACGTCTTCTCCAGTGACTGCATCTTTAGTGTTGCCATTCGCGATAGAATAGAAGAACGGCGGCACGGGGGTGCCACTCTTCGTTGTATTGCAAGTAACTTTGACCTCCCCGTTTCGCCACTCTCGCCATTTTGGATAGATATCAAGGAGGAATTCTTTGTAATCGTCTACCTTGGCGGTCAGTTCCTTTTGCCACTGATCCTTGTTCTTTGCATCTTCGTACATCTCCAACCCGTGCTCAAAACGCTCCGTCAACATGGTCAGGTGAAGGTAAGCGTGTGATAGAGTGATCGGAATCAAGTGGATCGCGTTTTTGGAGCTTGTTAATTCCTGATACAGGTTATTACAGGAGACAAGAATGGCGGAGAGAAGGCTCGCTTTCTCGTCAACGGAGGCCTGGGTGTACATGTTCAAACTATCTCGCAGTCCGTTCAAGGCCGCCGTTCGTTCTTGCAGCTCGAAATCGAGAATTTTTTTATCCACGAGTTGCTCGACCTGTTCTTTGATCGCAGACCAGATGCTCTCTTTCGTGTCGGGCCAAAAAAGGTTTATGAGCAGCTTTACTACCTTGCCCACCTCTGGAATTGCAGCAGCCAGGCCTTCGGCAATGGACTTCAGGCGGTTGTTCCAAGAGTTTGGTACTTTGATCGACATATTTTCAGTTTAGCTTGGCTTCGTACGTTCATCCAGCACTTCGTGATTTTGACCAAGGCAAGCCATCGCAAAACCATCTAATATGTGAAAAGTAGGCAATTAACACACATAATTCCCCCACAATGACGTCACACAAGTTGTTAGAGGAAATCCTGAATGCATGCTCGAACGCACCTATAATCACCACGTAATTCACCTGTAATCACCACGTAATTCAGTCCTATGTAACTGCAATGTGTGTGAATTATTAAACTATATATCTATCTATCTATAATCTAGGCCCACATCCACTGGACGCGATTCGCCAACGCACCCTAGGCATGTCAAAAGTGCTATTCTTCAGTAATTGTCAAGAATCGTAAAAAGGTAAAACATAGTTGCTTTTCAGAACTGAAAAATCGAGTCGCATTGCCGGATCGCTTCTGGTGTGTGTCGGCAATTCACTCGGTTTACATCCCCTGCTAAAATTAGCCGCCTCACAAAGAGCTTCGGCAATTTGCATATAGGTTGGGTCAATGCTAATGAAAATGAGAGTCGTTAAGGAATCTTTATTGCCTAGAAAACGCCTTCCACTGGTGATTAGGGAGTTTACGATTCACGATGCGGCCAGCTCGACAACGCGCTTGCAAAACAAAGAAACTCCACACGCGAGACAATAGCTATGCATAACTTGTGGTCCCATGACAGGGTTGTCATTCTTACGACGCCTACAAATGAAGCATTTTCACGGCCTCTCGGTGACATGAAAGCAGCGGCAACGTGATAGCTTAAATGAAACTGCAATATCAGATAGATATTGGAGGTTATTTGCACAATTAAAACGTTTGTATGATTATTTCAGAGTCCTAGCAGTTTAATCAATTTTCTGTAGCTCATTTGAAGCAAAATAATTGACTAGCGACGTCGAGCTAACCGCGTCGTAGATCGTAAACTCCCTATTGTCAACTGCTGGAAACGTCAGTTTGACATTTTAAATCTCTAAGTCATAGCAGTTTTACGTCCGGTTTTATTTACAATGTCAAGTTTTCTGTGATCACAGTTGGAACTTTGTTTCCCCGTGCAGTGTCGGTGTCTCGGTGACCCGGCTTTCTGATCAATTTTTCTTCCGAATTTTTTAGCACAAGCCCCAGCTACATATTTCTTCCCTTTACCAGCCGGGATTTTTCATAGCACTTATACAGGTCTCTCTGATACTGTTTTTACTACCAAACCCCACTTGTAAAGGGAATACGAGGTGTAAAGAGAATATGTTTCATTAAAGTGAGGTTGATTTGTAAGGATAATAACCGGTAAAGGAAAGCCTGCATAAATGCTATTGAGGAATATGATTCAAAATTTCCACTTAATGACACCTAGCTATAGTAGGCTGGAACATGTAATCAGATAAAATTGCCAAAAAGCTATACCCCCGAAAGATCATAGCCTGCGAATAACAGAAAGTTTCCCCCCACCGTGGAGTAAGCGTATAAATAGATTCTGTTATTCGCAGGCTAGAAAGATCACTGTGACCAACTGTTTCCAACTGCCAACATGTTATTTGGTCCTGGAAACTATATTCACGCAGATTTGTCGCCGTCTTGATAACCGAAGTTTGCTAGAAAAGTTCAACGGTTTCATACTAGTACAAACATGGAAAAAGAAATATCTTCACAGGAGAAATTAACACAGAGCTAAGCGGAAATAAATTAAAATTAAGACTAAAGACTAGCGTACACTGGTGCATATTGCACGCACACATGTCACTGCAAGTTCATGCCAGCCAATTCATATAAACTGTACAGAGGTTATCGTGTACAGACAGACGCTTTGCACAAAAAACTACATCCTTTCACACGCGTATTTCAATCGCTAACTATGGCGTTTTTATATACAAATAGTGTCATAGTTTACTCACAGAATTCTGTGATCGTGGGAGAGAAAATAGGCTTCGCATTATTGATTGTTTCGATTCAATGATTGAATCAGTTTTATCCATGATGTAATTATAAGTTATCAAAGTTTTTCGCCTATAGAATGTAGGATATTTTAGTATGACATTATCTTAGAATCCAAAACTGGACCCGCCTTTTCTTGGATCAGACTTGGCGAAGATTTTTCCATCTAACTCCTTGGAAATTGCTTGCACAACACAGTGGAAAGATTTGGTTTCGATGGTGTGTCCATAGCCTTTCAGTTCTTTGATGATATATGGTGACAGGTTGCGAGGTGGTTGTTCTATAGCTGTGTAATTAGGAAGAAGTTGGTTGTGGAATCGAGGCATGGTAACGGCTTCACTTGTGTTACGACCAAACCATATTTTGTTCATCGTTACCTAGATTTAGTTTAAATATTAGCAATTAACATATTAATAGTTTGGTGTGGCAAGTGTGGTGTAACATGGTATGCGTATGGTATGGCTAAACATCCTTACCAATGTAGTACCCGTGGTGATCCTCGTACCCCCAGATGCCCCTGCAATAAACACGACATCCCCACTTGTTCTGTTTGTTAAAATGATAGGACTCATGGACGACATTGGTCGTTTGCCAGGCGCGATGAAATTACTAGGAGACGGTTCAACTCCGTATGCATTGGTCAATCCGGGTGTTGAGAAATCGTCCATCTCATTATTGTACGTTATCCCTGTCACTGTCGAACGCACTTTCGAACCAAAACTGACATGAAAAAAATATTAAATGGTATTAAATTAGAATTAATTATTTGTTGGAATTTGATATTTTAGTAACTTAAATGTAGATAGTTTGTAGTTTAGATATCCTGTATCTTGCCAATTTTTGTAAATAATTGCGGAAAAGCATAGACCACCCCAATGCGGGGATACTATTCTCTGAACCCCCTAGTGGCCGGAGTACTTAATCCTCCATTACTTGTGTTCCATGTAGCAAACATGTTGTCTTTTGGTACTCTGGTCTTAGTTGCATCTGGAGTGATCTGAAGTGTCCACGTGGGTTAAATTTGATAAATATTTACTTACTAAGTGTTGATGGTACTGGTAACTGACACTGCGTCTCCATTCGGCGCTAGAACTGACAAGTGAGATGTCCCCGGGGGGTCGTAATTTGCATAATATCCGCCATAGTGCCTAGCGTCGGGATATGTTTGATTGGTAATGTTCATACGAATTCGTTTCGCGTAATCTTCATCTAAAAGGTCCTTTATGATCTGAAATAGACGTAAAAACCATGGCATTCTTCACTTGCAACTTTAGGAAGCATTTTGACTTTGTATAGCTGACATGTGTTACATTCTCCATACTAACCTGTGTATCATTTAGAAAGTTTTTGTCGCCTAGCAACGCACGCCTTGCGTAGGCATATTTGAAAGTTTCAATAATCTTGTGATAAACATTCGCTGTTTTTGAATTGCTTGATACGCTTTCGGTAGTGAAATTGTAGCCTAAATGTGAGAAAGTAAATATGTTTAGAGTTATTCAGTATAAATAGAGTTAGTTTAGCTTAGGTTTCCTCTTGTAGTAACACTAAAGAGATGATCCTTACTGGACTTCTACAACTATTTGACAAAATCCTATTTTGTACATTTACAAACCTTTGAGTATATTGAGCATGAACGCAATCAAGATACCGCTGGACGGTAGACCAGATGTATGCAGCTGATAATCTCCAACACTGGCATTGAGTGCTGGCTCAACTTCAACATGATAATCGTTCAAATCTTTTGCAGTGATGATACCACGATTTGAATCAATATCGTTAACGATATCTTCTGCAAGGGATCCTTCGTAAAACGATAAAGGATCGTAACTTATTCGTTCTAATGTTACAGCGAGCTTTCTGTTGACCAATCTGTCGCCCAGTCTCTTTAAACAACCATCTTCCTTCACCAGAAGCTCTCTGAGAGTGGAAAGAAAAGGCCCAGGAAGTTTGCACACGGAAATTCCACATGCACCTGTTTTTAGCTCCTCTGTCAAGACTTACAAACTTACTTTAACCCTTCACGTTTTCTGATTTCTTCCTCTTCGCTTCTAATAGCGTTGTCCAGTGCTTTGCTGATAATAAAACCTTCTCTTGCTAGGTTCATCGCAGGTTTAACGAGTTCTTTCCAGTCCAGTTTTCCATATTTCTTTTGAGCTTCGTACATTCCTTTCACCTCACTCGGCACAGCAATTGCCAAACCACCTATAAGAGTTTACTGTTTTAACAATTATTTAGCTGTGGATCAAATTTCATGTTTGTTGTTTTCTTTCCGTTTGCTTCTCAGTTGTAGTTGTAGTTGTAGTTTATTTGTTTATTTGTAGGTAGCAAGAAGACAACATGTCACCTGTCTTAGACGCAGAGGTCGTATCATTCACGAACATGCTCTCGTTTGCCAATCCAGGTGCCTTTTCTCTAAAGTTAAAATACTCGGCAGTTCTTTTTTCCTTGATATAAACAACCATTACGGCGCCACCTCCAATGCCAGCTGAATGCATATTAACCACACCGATACAGAATAAAGCAGCAATGGCTGCGTCTACCGCCGAGCCGTTTCTTTTGAGAATTTCAACTCCAATCTTTGAACATCTCACGTCATCAGCAGACACCGCGGATTCATTGTACGGCCCCTGTTGTTAATTATTATAATTTATACTGAGCAAACGGCTGCTTGGTATCCAAGCAGTCGTGTGTTTGAAACACACATTGTTTTAACAAATTCAATTTAAGTGCGATCATAATTAACATGAATATCTGAAAATTTCAGAACTAGAATGGTGACCTAGATTCCTGCTTCTAGTCGTTCAGAGGTTGTACATACATGCATCTAACTTCGCTGAACCGAGTACGTTTCTCAGGCCAGCGATAAATAACAATAAACCCGATAGTTGTGTGGTTCAAAACGCCTAAAATGACTGAAAGATTTGGCGGTTTCGCTAGTATTAAGGCTATGCAGATTGAATGTTGAAACGAAAAGCTTCATCTTGCATAAATCGTTTGAAATAATAATCAAAATGTGCGCTTGCAACCTTCACTGTGAATTTCGTTTCATATGCACGCGTCATGTAGAAAAAGTAATGCAACTTCAGCAGGCTACTGTACGTATAATTACTTGACTAACGAGCGTAACTTTCTTTTCAAGATTCATCAGGATTTTTTGAGGACTTGGATGTCTGTGCTATATTGTACACAGGACTTGGATGTCTGTGCAAAATGGGCCGCCACGAATATCTTGGCGAGGATAAAAACTGATAAATCAACAGGTAAAAGTCTCATTTATTTTCATTTTCGCCAAACATGCACAACATAAGGCTGCGTTTCCTCTTGGAAAACCAGCGAAATATTTGCATATTTTCTTTTGAATTGAGATTCAGTATTTATGCTGTTGAAATTCAAAAGAAAAGAATGGAACCATTTCTCTCATTCAAATGATCGTCTCCGTGGAGAATATTCTGGCATTTTTCAATTGTTCCAACTTACCTCCGGATTGCCCGATGGTCCTGGGGGAGGGGAGTCTGTGGGTGTTTGTGAGCAGTTGACACTCGTGGAGGTGGTTTGTTTTGTTAGGGAGAGGGTGGTAATCCTTGGGGGCGTGGATTTGTATGTCGTGGGGGTTGGTCTCCCACTTGGTGACGCAGTACTTGTTGGACTATCAGTACCATTATTTTTCCCTGTTTGACCGCTGAACTCATTTGAATCTGAATCCTTATTTGCGTAGAGGACAGCCAATGCGATGACAGCAGCAAGCAAGATTACGATGACGACAAACGAAATGAGAAGATGCTTCTTGCTATTTGATCTGTAACCACTAAATGAATATTGAATAAGAAGGGAATGTTCATGTTTGAAGGTAAGCCTTTTTTAAGAACATGCATCGAAAGTCCAGCGAACTCAAGAAGCTGCTATTAGGAGATTCGCATAAATAATCGGATTTCATGGTCAAAATTGGCCTAGTTAGCAAAATTGGCTTGAATTTTTTCCACCTCACCTTTCCACATTACTCCCGCCTCCCAAAGACAAAGCTGTATTTGACATCGCAAAGCCTTCGTTCTTCATGTTTTCTTTTCAACTTTCCTATAAATGAATCGCTATGGTTTGCTAATGTGTTTACATAATATTTACTAATAGTGTAAAACGTTAGAAAAGTTTTTTTTCCGTGGTGCAATAATGCCATTAGTGTCATAATAGACTTTAGAGTGCCCATCTTTCCAAGTAGGTATCTTAGAAATTATCCTGGCCACTGATCTATAAATGTCACTGACTGAATGTGACAGATTCAGGGGTCAATAGGAAAATAAGCATGATATTGTGGGGTAGAATAGGATAGGATACGATAAAGTAGAGCAGAGTATATGGTGAAAGTATTTACATGTAAAAAAAGGGAAAAAAAGGTGGTTAACTTTTAACTACAATTAGTGGCGGAACAAACCAATCAAAATATCTGTGTATTTCGGTGCTAACTACGATTAATTGACTACATGTTTCATACAACTGACACCTGGCAAGATATGAGCTCAAACATCATGTATGGAATATAATGTACATCGATGAAACGTTACTCAATCGGCCGTTTCCTCGAAGCCACAAGGGTCACTTAATAGCTAATATAAACCATGAAACAAACGTCGTACCATTTCACTTCACCTAACACAACAAAACGGTTCAAATAACGTTTATCAATTGTATGACCAATATTGCGGACTATGGAATGAAACTTTGACACAATTTGCCAGCGCTCGTTAAGCCGATTAAGGATAAACATTCATTGTTTACAGTCACCTGCCGGTATACGATATTTCACTACCATATTAATACTCAGATCAATTTATTATTTAAGCATAAATAATATAATACAAATTATTGGCAAATGTTAATTCCTCTTTTACCTGTCTTTTAGATCGCTGAAAAAAGTCACACCACTGTTCAGCCGCTTTCCGCGCCTTGTAAACGAATGGCCGAAGGCAAACAAGCCAAGTATCATTTGTTGTATCGCCTCAAAGTTGTGTCTTTCATGTGCATTATTACCATTTGCGTTCAAGCTTGCGTAGTGCGGTTTTAAAACTTACGTTTGAGGTTCAAAACGTACGTTTTGTCACGCCCCCTCTCATGATTGTAACGAAGTTCAAACGAACTTGGCTAATATCCAAAAAAGTTTTTATTTGTGTAACGACAGATGTAACGTTTGCGGAAAAGTGTTCGTTCGTCCGTTCCACTGTGGCTGTCTGCAATGTGAATCGGTCACTTTCTCACTTTCGCTTTTACACTTGGTGAAGAGCCTCGAATATTCTCAATCTCGGGCGATGAATATCCGTCCCTGGACTGATACATTTTAGTATAGGTAATAGCATGGTTTCGAGTGCAATTTGGATATAACATGCACGATTGGGTTTTTCAAAGACCTCAAAGATCTTTGAAAAACTCACGAGTGCATGTTATATCCAAATTTAACAAGAAACCATGCTATTAATAACTTAATAATAATGTATATAATTTGATTCGTTCACAGTGATTACAAAAAATTGCACTTTAGTTACAAAAAATTGCACTGTGATTACAGAAATATTGCATTGTGGTTACAGAAAATTGCATTGTGATTACAGAAAATTGCATTGTGATTACAGAAATTGCACAGTGATTATAGAAAATTGCACTGTGATTACAGATGTTTACACTGTAATTACAGATTTTTGCGTTTTTTGCACTGTTGTTTAGGATTAACTGCACTGAAATCAATCACAGTCAAGTGTACTTTTATATAATATTATATTACTCATGTTATTGCGATTGTATGACCTTGGCGAGGCCGTGAAAAAATACGTCGTGTTTCTTCAATCTGAACTTGCACTTGTATTTGGTCCACAGTCATGGATTTCATCGTTCAAATTGCTGTATTTATTTTTAAACCGTATGTACAAAGAAACGTCGTTATAAAAAGACAAGGGTCTGTGCCAAATGATGGCTTTGTCTCATTCGAAAAAAGGAGTACGTCATTCGTGTTAGTAAATGCGTCTCCCTGTCTTGCAAACCAGTTTATTTTACTAGTATTTCCCAATTACGTACAGGACAGGAGTATGCACGTAGGTAAACCTCAGCAGAGGAAACTGACATACGATTACCGTTTCAGATCGACTAAATCTGCCAATGGAGGAGACAATACTTGCTTTGATCCGCCGCGAAACATTTCTTCATTAGCCTCTGGGGAACGCATAGTTAAGGAATATATATGGTAGTATGAAAGAGTTCTTTTCAAATTAAAGCACAGTTGGTGCTTTTGAAAATTCAGAAGTAAGTAGCAATATGCAGGAATTGATGTTCCAAACATATAGACTTACAGACAGGGATCGGACCTAATTTCCCAACTGAATAAAGTCATCTTCAGGTCGTGCATATGATATTCGTGCCATAATTTGGCCATTCAATAGTAATGGCGATATGGAAACTGAGATAACTGCGCTTATCATAGACAGCCAATATTTCGTTTACAATTTTGTCGCCGACAAGTTAACGTACAATTTTAAAAATATAGAATAGCAATGACATAATCGCCGACAAATTCTACCCGCATCATTTGTCAGCCTATGTGTACATTTCAGTCCTTTAGCCGGACTTATTTCGGTAATAATTCAATGTTTAATATGCCTTATTTAATCCTTTAGATTAGGTTAGGATTGTGGTCAGGATTGGGCCTTAGGTTTATAGTTCATCAGGGTTAACCCTAATCCTAAATCTAACCGTAATCCTTAGTCTAAAAAGTTTAAATTAGTGAATTTAGGATTTGCTCATTATTGATCCTTGTGTGCATGCATGGAAAATTTTTCATACTGTAAAATCTTCCGTTCTCTGATGACTCCAGTGAATATAACAAGATCCTTAGTCATATAAATTGAAGTGATATGAACCGATGATGCATCTAGCTTAGTCGTTTTGATTCCCGTGAGAACGAGGTAATGCTGATGCATGCCTTGTGACAATGTGACTTGTATATTGGTCCAATATACGACACATACTTACTTATATAAGAAATCTAAATCAAACAGAATCTATCGGTATATTGATAGACTTTTAAAAGGAAGTACAAACGATCACTTTGTGATCTCTTGATTTTCACAAATGATTTATGCATGGACGTCAGGCACTGGGTACTATACTGCGCATAATCTGTGCTATAATAATCTTCAATTAGACCAGCAAAAGATTGTTGGGAAACTGGCAATTATATTATTGACTAGAATCAATGATTTTATTTTGAAAAATGATGAAGTATGAAGGCAGAGGTTGGAAAACCAACCAATACGTAGGTTCAGAGCTGAAAAACGTTTGGTGTGGAGATGGCTGGATCCAAGGCTGAAATTAAGCATAGGCTATTTTGGCCAAGAAAATCAACAAACCATAAGATTATTAGCTTTGAAGTAGTTTGTAAAGATAATTAACGCAGTAGACATGGATTTCTAGATCTCCTTTGATAGGTTTATATTCATTGACGTAGCTACACTGGATTGGCAGGTTTTGGTCTCCGGCCGGGCGGGGGACTTATTGTGATGACAGATACGTTATTGAGGTCTTCTCGACTCTCCTGTTTGTACTTCGTGTCATCCTCGGCGCCTGACGGATTATCCACTCAAATTGTCTCGTCATAAAATAGGAAATTAAATCGGGGCAAAAAAAACTTGTCAGTGTTTGTCGGCGAACGGAATTGCGTTGAGGAAAACCGTAGCTGAGCAAGTACCATTGTATGTAAAGATTCATTGTATAACAGCGTTTTTTAAGCCTTGAGTTAGGCCGTTAAGATAGGAAGTAATTTGGTGTAATGGCACTGAGAATATGTTGTGTTTTGAGATTAATTGAAGGCCCACTTCAAGCATTCAACGGGATGAACTGCAGGAATACCCTGCACTACAGCACTTTATCACCAAGAAAACTCTTCGGGAAACAAAGGCTCTTAGTATTGAGATGGTTATATTGAGATCAGCATGCATGTCAAGTATCAGTATATGGGTAAATGCTCATGCGAATGCTGCATTTAGCCCCAAAAGGGGAAATGTTTTTCGATTTCTGACAGATGCTCTTGAATAACCGATAAGATGCATTAAAGTTTTATTGAATATTCCGACTTCACGTGAGAAGTCACATGCCTTGCGCAAAGATGGCCTGCACACTATGCACCCGCCCGCCCGGGTAGAGCGGGAAGTTAGTCATAAATAGCGGAAACTTTAACCCAGCATGCGGGCGCTCATTTGCACACACTCGACTGTCTCGACGAATTTTACGCGCCGTTTATTTTCTTTCTTCTCTTCGCCCAGCGGGAATCTACGTGATCATAGAGTTATAGTTCTCTTTATTATTAGCACTGAAAAAGTGAAAAGATAACTTACTGAACTTGTTTGTCCAGTGTAGGTAGTATTCTACAATTAGCTGTCGTGGTTTGTGTCTGAACTACCTGAGAAAGACATCTCAAACGTGGTGGTCCAGTGTAGGTAGTATTCTGCCATAAGCTGTTGTGGGACACAATTGTGTCTGAACTACCTGAAAAAGATATCTCAGTCAAAAGTGGTGGTCCAGTGTAGACAGTATTCTACAATAAGTTGTCGAGGTTTGTGTATGAACTACCTGAGAAAGATAATAACTAACCGGCACCAAGGACCAGTCACCAATTGCAGGCTACGATTGCTAGCGGGGCAAGTAAAGCAATTAAGTAAAGCACAGGACCATATACAGTCACAAAAATATGAATTTAGAAAGAGACGAGGTTCGAAAATGTATATACTACATAGTCTACATTGCATATGTTAGCATGGCTTGATGATTCCTTGTTTCCTTTCTATCGATTATACTGGTCTAGATGTGACGTCATCGTAAACGAAGTGTATCAAATTAATATGTTAATATATGTACAATTTCCAATACTGATCACGTGTCCATTGAGGCAAGCACGAGGTGCACGTTCCAAACAGCATTTCTCGAGCAGCTGAAAGTACATTTATGATACGGAAGGCGAGAGATTGTGGTCGTAATAATAGGCTAAATAGTGAGCAATTTCGCAGATGAAAGGCATGGAGAACTCCGCAGTCGAAGTCGGTATAGATCGTATACAATCGACCTTTGCTGAGCGAGGTAAGCCATATACTCGGAGATACTGAAGAGTGAAGTCTGTGACACTTGTGTAAGTTGTGTTGCAATTTTAAATAATGTATCAAATGTATCTATACTTATACTCCAACCTATTAGAACCCGAAGGAATCCGAGATCGTGGCACATGGATTTCCACCTCTGAAGTCGGAATACAAGCAGACTTCTCCGAGGAAAGTGATTTGGAATGCTACTTGAGCGAGGGCGACCTTCTTACTACAGCCGAGGACAAAAAGAGGCTAAATGCAAGCTCTATTCCTGCCCATTCCCAGTCTGCCAGTGGCCCATTGGCTGTGGGAATCAGGACGGCGAGAAAGGCAATTGAATTGAAGTATATTTATGGCGATGATCTCTCAAAGAATGACATTGAAAGACGTATGTGAAAATACGTGTCGTATGCAAAATGATTAGCTATATCTATGGGGGGTTAGAGATCAGTGCAGTCTCCATGAAATTTATGAATTCCCTAAATTTCCCACAAAACATATTTCTTCACTTTTGGTTGCCTAATTTCCGTAAAGTTTATTAAACAGACCACAAATATGAACGTGTTTGTAGCACTTGTTACCTTGCCAGAACCTGTCTACCAATCAGTACTAAGGTGCCCTTTGTACCTTTGTGCAGGCCAACCTACCCATTAGGGCAAAGGACAATGAATATCAAAATTCTAAAATTTTGTACTCTTTAGTTTTCTTTTTGTATGATGACATATTCCAACTCAGTGCAATCAGCTCATAAAACTGATAAAAGTGTGCATCTCATACAATGAAACATTAAGCTGAAAGGTCTTGCTGCATAGTTTCTTAATGGGTTTTGACCGGTTTTCATTTTGAGGTAATAGTTAACCTACCTTAAATGCCTCTGGGTTTTCCCCAATCATTTTGAGCAATTCACAGGGAGAATAGTGGAAAGGTGACTCAGGGTTTATCATTATAGACAAAAAATATGGCAACTGAGCTATATTTATTACACCGTACTGTGCCAATTAATGTTTATTCTCAAATATTTATTCTCAAGTACATAATTTCAGTCAAAGATTAGGTGCATGTAGAAATTATATACAATGTATTGTAATCATGATTCCTGCATTTCTTTCACTAGTTAGCAAAGCTGATGTTCTTGTCCCACCAGGATTGCTCATTAAAAACTCCACTATACCTAATGCTGGTCATGGTGTGTTTGCTAATTGTGAAATACCAAAACATGAATTCTTTGGTCCATATCTTGGCAAAATCATTGATGCGAAGGATGCAAAAAACTATAAACAGTCACATTACGTATGGGAGGTGAGCTTTTCATTCTAAACAAGGCATATTAATAACTTACTTAGCAATATTGTATAAAAACATCACATGGAAATAATTGCAAAATTAAATTTTATCATAGTGGCTGGTCTTTAATTCCTAAGGAAATTGATATAGTGTGGGGGTATTTTTACCACCTTCAATACCATCCTATCTGACATCTTATGTCTGTTCAATAGGTAATCCAAAAACTCTGTATCTGGCATGTGAGCAACCTTAGTGGGTTTACACTCATTCCCTATCATGTATTTGTTTATAACTCCCCTGATTTTTAATTGTTAATTGTTACACATACCCCTCACCTCAGTCTCAATATTTAAGGAACCTCATAGGTTCTTTGTTTTGAGGAGGTTAAGAGGATGGAGCCTTAAGAGAGAGGGTGGATGAGACCGAAAGGAACATATTTTGCATTCTCAAATTTGTATAGCCCTAGGACTTCGCCTGTGCCTGGAAATATGATTTTATAACTTCATGTTTGAATTGCACAACGTTTTTTTAATTTTATGCCAGGGATATTTCTAAAGTGGTTTCTCTATGTAGAGCCATGTTCAAAGAGATTGCAGAAACCCTAGAATTGCATCCTCTTTCAGGTAAAGGATGACTTTGGCAAATTAGTCCATCTAGTTGATGGAAGTGATGCTTCTCAATCGAATTGGTTACGATTTGTAAATTTTGGGAGAAAAGTTAATGAACAAAACGTTCGACCGGTACAATATGAAAACAATATATACTACATGGTGACACGAGATATCTTTCCCAATGAAGAGCTGCTTTTGCATCATTGGCAGAAACAAGCGAAGAACCAAGGAACGGGTATTCAGAAAAGAGATGCAGATAGTAAGTTCCATGGCATTAATGCATTGCAAGTTTCAAGAACGATAAATTCATAGGAAATATCTTTAAAAAAATGTTTGTAAACCTCATCATGCACACTCTTTCTCTTAACTTATTGCCGTATTTTTTTTGGATAAATAGCTATCACCTAGAGTCAGTTGTTCAAGGTTAGCGCTAACCCTGGGTTTCCCTAGTTTCCGTGCATGTGCACCGCCGCTTGTGTTAAAACTTTACAAAATATGATTTCTATTGAACCAGAAAATACTGATGGAAAAAATATTCAACTTTTGTAAACAAGCGATGAAAAAAATTAATGAAAAAATTTGCGTTAACCCTGGGTAAAGTTAACCGGCTTTTGAATAACCGACCCTGAAGTGAAGATGATTTAGCCTTTGCGTCAAAATTTAGAGAGAAAATATTTCTGCGGTGAATCGATATGGATCCGCTGGTTTGTGTTCTGCGCAATTGTCAGCTAACGGAAATATCTCATTTGTTCTCATCAATATAGAATCAGAAACATTCCAGTGTCGAAATTGCAACAAGACGTACTCTGAAGCATCGAGTCTGATCGGCCATTTGAAGTACAAATGCAACAACGGAAAGCAGCGAAGCATCTTCGTTCCACAGCCGACGGACCACGAGGACCCGTTCAAAGTCGACATCCCGGACGAGGTGGTGGTTCGCGAGAACGAGAAGATGAAGAAATTCCAGTGTTCAACGTGCGGCAAACGATTCATTCGTAACTACACTCTCCAGTGCCACATGTTGATACATACCGGAAAGAAAGATCACGTGTGCGAGACGTGCGGCAAGGCGTTCTCGCTGGCCAAGCACCTTCAGCGTCACAGCCTCGTCCACTCCGGCCTCAAGCCATACAAATGTCACCTGTGTGGAAAATCGTTTTCGCAGCAAGGCAGCCTGCAGGCGCACAGCCGTACGCACACGGGCATCAAGCCGTACAAGTGCGATGTATGCGGCCGAGCGTTTTCCCTGCAGTCTCCATTGCTGTCCCACTTGAAGACGCACAATGCTGAAAAGGCGTACAAATGTTCCACGTGTAACAAGGAATTCACGCATCGGAACACCCTTCTTCGCCACGAGCTCATTCATTCGGGGACCCGCCCTTACACCTGTACGGTGTGCGGCAAAGCCTTCACCCAAACCAACGACCTGAAGCGCCACAGCCGCATACACAGCGGTATACGACCGTATCAATGTCACATTTGCGGGAAAGCGTTCACCGTGGAGTTCACGTTGGTCTGTCACGTTAGAACTCACACCGGTGTCCGGCCGTACTCCTGTGATTATTGCAGTAAGACATTCACTCAGCCGGGCGCGAGATTGAAACATATAAGGAAGGCTCATCCCGATAAGCCGTTGCCACCATCAGCAAAAGGAAGAAAGATTCGCGGTAAAAGAGAAGACGCTGTAAACAAACAAGGAGATGTAAAAACGGGAGATGATTTTGTACGGTGATCGTGCGCACACTCTCACAGTTGAACCAGATCCAAGATTATGATTACGGACACCTCTGAATACAATTAATGATTAATTTAATAATGAAAAATAATTTTTTTTGCATTTATTTCAATTGTTTATCTCTAATATGTGATTTTACCTGCATTTCACATTGAAGGGTTGCTGTTACTTCCCATTTACCAAAACTGAGGGCTGTTGTCTTACTTAGATCTTAGATTGAAGCCTGGGTTAACGCGATACCGAATATTGCTGTCGGAACAGCCATAGAACAGCCAACAGCAACGGCGCATTTCCTGCTAACCGTTGCTTTAGCCTTAGATGTTGCGACGGCCAAATCTGGCACCTGGTAAACGAAGCCGTAACCTTCGGCTGGTTGTGGGGAGTCAGACCTTGTAAAATCCCAGACTGATTTTCCTTCAACGAAGGATCCAATACACTTCTCTTTACTAGGAACGGAACGGATTCGCCTAAGAAGTCTTCGAGGAGCGTGTTTTGAGGCAAAAATTTGCGAAGCCGTTGGGAGTTACAACGAACGCTACAGTACAGAACGGAAGTTACACTTAATTTAGTTCTTTTCCAACATTTAAATTTTTGAAGGTTGGTTTCTTTAAAAGTTGTTTCTCTTCGGGTGGTGGTAAATAAACGTCTATAGTTTATAGTGCGAATGACATGACGTATTGCGGTGTGTGCATGTGCAAGTGCATGTCTTGCCAACCTCCAGGGTCTTTACTCTACTCGTGGGGAGAAAAGACCACTGAGCTATATAATAATTCCTGGAGGACCGGTTCGTCATTTTTCGGTAACTTCGCCGCCATCTTTTTGCACAAAAAAACATGGCGGATTTTGCCTTCTGCGCACTGCGCAGAAGTTTTGCTGACGCCATATGGTCCCCTTTGCCCAGGGTAATTACCACTGACCAGGCTCAAATCTGAGCCCGCTACGAGAGATGCTCCCCCCTGGTTTATCTAAACAACAGTATTTCCCCCCTGGTTTTTTATGAATATTTTTTTTGCCGTGAAACATGAATTGGAAACCTTGCTGTTTTGTATTTTTCGATTTATTTTTGTGCTACAAAGCGTTGCAATAAGGCGTTTATTTCAGTTCTATACAATCGTGGACGCTGTTTTGCGAATGCCAGAGAAAATATTAATATTAAAACGTAAAAAAAAATTGTGGACGAAGGATTTTTATATACGATTAGCTGACAGGTTATTTTATTTATTTATTTATTTTCATTATTCATACATTTCTGTATAAAATTTTTGAAAATACTTGAATATTTTTCGAGTCTTGTCAGAAATTTGGATTATCTTTCGGATATCAATCGCCGACTAAAGGTTACCGGCAGAAAATATGTTGTTATGTGATGTTTTCCTTAGAACATCATGCTTATGCATATCAGCCCATAACTCAAGGAAAAAAAGGCCAAACCTCATGCAAGATGCTGGGCAGCTGATTATATAGTAATAGTACTTCAAGTCATTTGCATAGGATATTTTCATTCAGGTCATTATAGCTAGCCTAAGTTACCCCTATCTTACTGTATCCCAAGTAATGCATTTTCCAATCATAATCATATTCCAGATAATGCAAGGAAAGGCTATGGTAAATAACAAAAATTTTATTATAGTACCAACTACCAAGAAGAATATGGTACTAGTTGTGCTATTCAACAAATGTCTCATGAATTCATGAAAATGCAACTGAGCCTATTCATTCCTCCATTAGTCTATAATCTATTAACCTTCAATTCCTGATTAGCCCCATGATAATATTCCTTTGAATGGTGGGGAGGGTAAAACTGTCCAGAAGTTGCTGCAAATTGAAAACAAACTGCTCAGTCAATGCATGTCTGTATAAATTTATTTTCCATTTAAATAACTATCTTAACTATGACTAACAAAGTCAACATGGTAAAATTAACAGTTTAATGTTCCAGTAATTTGCAAAAAAGCCATCCCCAAATTCAATAGCATCTTCATCCTAAAAAAGAGAGATCAGACCAAGTTTAACTGTACTCAATAAAGTACACCCAGAGGACAGAGCCAGAGGGGAATAAAAACCATTGCAAACTGATTAACAATCAAGCTTGTAGCTTGATCAACAAGGTGCAAGATGCCAAGAAGTCTATTAAGCCATGATTATTGACTTTGCATTTGACAAGGCAAACAAGATAACATACTAGACTTTTAACAACCACTGTTGAAATCTGACAGTAAAATATTTTGTATCAGCACTCACACAGTCATCATGTTTAATGTTTTAAATTCATCTAAAGGATCAATAGAGAGACTAATAGATTCACTGGGAGGATTGAATATTGATTCATCTTAATTGTTTGGCTGAAAATACTCATGAGTTGGCATTAAATATGAGTGAAAGCTCCAGTGCAAATGCCATAAGAGTTCTATTCAAAAGCCAAAACTGGCAAGACATAGCCAAAACTCAAAAGATCAGTTATTGATCCTTTTTCATAAAGTATAGTTTTTCATAGCGTAACTAAGTCATGTACCATTGATCAAAAAGGCTGCACTCTGCAGCATATTTGCCGTTTTTAACATTAATTTCAAAAGAAATAAACTGCAACAGACGCTTTGGTAGTTGTCTATACCAAAGGCGAAAAACGAAAATGTTGTGAAAACCGGCTTACCTGAGGTAAAAATTGATATCCCGATAGGTGAATTAGGCCATTCACAGCATCATATGTAGAGCGAAAAATCACTTCTCCATTTAACTTGTTGAACAGGGAAAAAGAGTCTTTTTAGATGAAACGCGGAGAAAATATATGCCGAAAACAATACCGAAAACCAAAAATATTTTCATAAAAATCGGGAGGGTGATGGACACGTTTTTGACTTTGTATCGCGGTATGTCAGTGGTAATTACCATGGGCAAAGGGGACCATGTGGCGTCAGCAAAGCTGAAAATCCGCCATCTTTTTCGTTACACTTTTTGGTGGCGAGCCGGTCCTCCAGGAATTATTATATAGCTCAGTGGAAAAGACCCTGGTTGGGGCTGGTCACGTGAGCAATTAAAATTCTATCGCCAGAGGGGGTGTGGCCACTGAGCTATATAATAATTCCTGGAGGACCGGTTCTTGACCAGTGAACTCAAATAAAACTGGAACGCTCACTCTATGACTTTCCCTCATTGATGAGTGAAGCCAAGATGGCGGATCATGATGCCTTTCTTGTAGGTATGATCCAGGCCTCTGGCGCGGAAACTTCAAAGGAAAAATCAGAATTCCCGACAAAATTTCCGCGTGGAGGCCTGGATCATACCTACAAGAAAGGCATCATGATCCGCCATCTTGGCTTCAAACTTCCGGCAGAGTGAGCGTTCCAGTTTTATTTCAGTTCACTGTTCTTGACCAGAAAGTGAAGCAAAAAACATGGCGGATTTCGGCGTTTGGTGACGCCACTTGGTTCCTTTTGCTCATGGTAGTTACCACTGACATACCGCGATACAAAGTGAGAAATTGAGTCCGTCTCCCTCCTGGATTTTATGAAAATATTTTCAGCTTTCCGTATGTATTTTTTGTTTTTCATATAAAATGGATAAAAGTATTTCTCTTTTTCCCTGTTCAACAAATGGAAAGGACACGTAGCTTCGTGCTCTGCGTCTGACGTTGTGAATGGCTTAATTCACTTATCGGTAGAGCGAATTTTCTCATTTTGCTCTTATTTTATAACATCCAGGTAAGCCGTTTTTCAACTTTTTTTACTATAAACAATTTCGTTTTTGGCCTTTCGAGTTGGACTATTAGTATAAACTGATTACCAAAGCCTCTGAGACAATAAATCCATCAAAACGTGTGGTACAAACAGTCAATGCAATGTTATATACCCAAATTTTATCATTTTTTCTTAACTTGTGTGGGAAAAAAATTATATTCCTGGCAGTGTCAATCTTTTGAGTTTGGTCTATGTTGTTTTCATGATAGCAAACATCAATGCTAATAGGTAAACCATTCCCCCAGTGAGTCTACTATAGTCACTTTCTATTGTCCCACCCAGCATCAATTAACATGATCTGAGGGTGCTAATACAAAATAATAAGATGCTGTAAACAGTGTAAAATTCCAACCTCTGATAGTGAGCCCTGTTAAAGCCTAGTTAATACATTATCTTGTTTACCTTGTCAAATCCAAAGTGAAATGATCAATTATCACAGCTTTTAATTTATTTTTTAGCTTCTTGCACCTTGGGAATAAATCTTGATCATATCTCCATTTTTATTTTTCAGGATGAAGTTCATGCATTTTATGACTGTGCATTGTTATTCTTCATTTCCATGTTATCTGATTTTGTTGTTGGCTGGTGTTTTTATACCATTTGTGATATTTATTAATTAATGAAATAAATATAAACATGCATTGAGCAGTGTGTCTTCAATCTGCAGCAACTTTTGTAATTTTCTGTTTATGGTATCAAACTCCGAAGGGGTTATATTCATTAGGCTAATCAGTGGAGCCTATGGAGGGATATTAAAATGTTATTCTTTACTATGACCAGAGGTCCAGGGATGCAATTTGAGAATGCTGAAAACAGGTTTATTAAGGTACAAGTTGATGACTTTAATGAAAAGTATATTATGCAAATATGATTCTTGGTTGAAACTATATTCCTGCACTTAGTATTCGTCAGCTGCCCAGCATTTTGCCTGAGCTATGGCCTCTGTTTCTTTGGATTTTGGATTGTGCATAGATATAAAGTCTTGAAGACAGCATCACATACTGAATACTGTATTACATACTTCCTGCGCAATTCATCAGTTCAGGGTTTAGAAAAGTCAAATTGTTGCCCATAAATTCCTAGTTGTCTTCAAAATATGCGAGGATAGTGCCAAAACATTCAAACATTTGTAAACGTTCATATTGAAATGTATAAATAACAAAAATATTATTACGAAAATAAAATAATAAACCTGTCAGTTCGTGTCAGTATTAAAATCTTTAGTTTGTCCACATTTTTCGATATTTTAATATATATTTGTTCCCGCATTGGCAAAAACAGCGTGTATGACTTGTATTCATCTTAAAATAAAACTTTATTGTATGTCAGTGCGAAAAATATCAAAAAAACAACCAAAAAACATTTCAAAAC